GTATGCATTTAAAATTATCAAAAATATTGGCTCATAATAACTATGCACTGTATACATAATGTTGTACATATGAATGATAAAATGAATTTAAAAAATTTAATTTTTGCAACTTATGAACTGTCAATAATTGGGTAACATATTGTAGTTGATATTCACAAAATGTATTCCCCAAAATGGCATAAAAGCTTTTTACTATATAACAAATCTATAAACAATACACACTTTTACACACGATTAAAAACAAAACACTTGGCTAATGACGAAAACAATTTTTATTTTCAATCGCTTTTATTATGTTTATTATATTTTTATGACGCATACATTTATTTTACCATTGTGTTTAAAACTGTTATTTCTAGAATTGTTTCTAATGTACTAAACATTTTTCTTAAATGGTATATTGTTCTTTATAATTTTTAATTATTTAGAAAACTGAAAATATAATTTACAGAACATTTTCAATAAGAGCATACGGCCAAAAAGAAGGGTTAAAATTATTTTTATTTAATTCAATAATATTATGTATTAATATGGGTAGATATTTTTTATTGAAAAACTACCTATATAATAACCTTAAGCAAAGTCGAAATAAAAAGATTTACTACAATATTGAATGTAATACAATTATACAATTTCAATAATAAATAACTCGTGTTAAATTACTCAACGAAGAAGAAATAACTGAATCACAATGTGCTTTACAAGTGTACAACCACTTAGCACATTCAGTATCCACTCGAAATTTCACATACGAAGCACATCCGACTTAACCGAAATTTCCAGAAATTCCGTCCATTACTTATGACCACTCACGGAACGGCACCTCATATTTTAACACTTCTAGCAGCTACCTCTAACATTGTATAATTTCAACACGCATTATTGTCGTAACTAATAAAACATCATGTTACCTGCAGTACAATACGCATGTAGCTCGTTCCAGGGATTGTAAAAGGACGCAGTAAAAAATATTATATTATATTGGTACTTCAATTTTTGTTTACAATAAAAAGCGATGTTGACACACGAGAAAAGCCATTGGAGACTGAACAAAACTATTTTCCCCGTCCAGTTTAAAGGTCTGTGGATCCAATGTAATTACTGAATAGACTTTCAATGCATGTCCGATAAACAAAATCCATCCGTGCCTATGAATTATTCAACGCAACCGAGAGGCAATATTTACCTGCAAGTTGCAACATCTCTACTGTCCTTTTTTTTTTTTACAATCAGTGTAACTGAGGGTTTTTTTTTCTCTTCCGCGTAAACATATGCTTGAATCATATTGAAATTCAACATAGACAAGTATGAGGTAATCGCAAACTTTAAACTAAATCTAACGTCAATTGACGGCTGAATGCCAAATAATACCAAATACGTGTAGGTACCTTATATTTATACCTGTTTCTGTGTAAAATTATAAACAATTTTAACTTAAATATCCAGCTGTGATACAAAAAAAATATCACAGCAAAAACGGATTTCGTTGAGAATAAAAAATAAATGTGTTCGTTTGTCGCGTTTGTCATATTATATTATAACAAATTTAAAAACTATTAAAATAATAAGATACGTACACGTTTTTATAGTTATAAATAACATTCGATTTTGTTTAAAAACAAAGCAAAATATACCCTAAAAAGGTTTTAATTTATATCATAATATGCATACAAATTGATGTTTTAATTAACCAGCTTGACATGAGAAAAGTCACGGGTAGTTTGCGTGTAGACAAATAACACTAAACTCTGCTAACATAAATCTTTTGCAATAACTGTTTAGAAAGGCATTAACCCACATTGGAGATTTTAAAAACTACGCAGTAACTACTTTTTAACTCGGACTATTATCTTATGGAATGACAATGAAGAACGTTTTCACAATTTAACGTTTAATTAATAGTTCTAAAAACATAAATCAAGTAAAATATGTCACTGAAATTAAAAATTAAATGAGCTCGGCTCTGCGATAAGGTTTATTATTAATTTTATGGCAACATACATAGTTTGGACTGTTTAGATAACTTTGTATAAATACTTTATGAACTATTTGAAACGAACAAATAATATTTATGAAAGAGCATTTTTCATTGTAGATATATCGTATATAGGGACTTTATCAACATTCCGATGACAACTAAATACAAATTACATAATTTCAGCTATCACCAACTTAGGAACATAAAACAAAAAGATGTACATATGACTTCATTTGTATAATACTAATATTAACTACAACATACTAACCAATTTTAGAGTAAAATAAAAATACCAGCATTTCAGAAGTTGTGTGGGTCTGAATTTTTTCAATCAAAACTGAAATCGATTAAAATTGCTTGAATATGTATATGGGTCAGCATTTCGTTCTAGCTGATAGTACTTTTTAAGGAAACGCCGCAAGATAGAGATGTAACAATAAGCTCCCGGATATGAGTTGCTTTTATTGTATAATCAATATTAACTCAGTCTTATATATCGACTATTTTGATAGAGACCTTTGGGCGATTTCCAACGTAAAATGGTTTTTGGTAGTTAAAAAAACATACTTACAGTAGATTAGACAGTCCTTTGCTGCAGTATTTTATTTTTGATAGGTGAAATGGAATGGAAAATATTATTAGATGAAAGAAAATCGAATGCACTTCTATGAAACAAACCAAAAATCAATTCGTATATAACCTTTTAAAAATGGAAACCAATTCAGATGTAGCTTTTATTTACTGATGTGCGAGTACAACTTTATCAGCTTTACGTGATTTTAAAAATATATTTTTCACTCACATGTCCTAATGGTTGTATTTAAATAGCGTTCATATAAATCGCATTTATTCAACGAATATTACAAAAAAACGTCTACGGTTTTATTAAAAATTCCTATTTTTATGGGCCACAAATTCAAAATATTGTATAATATAGTCCAATAAAAGATCAGTTTATTTCTAAAAATTCTAATTAAAACAATACGCATGCGTAATACAATGATAAATTGATCGCAATAAAATATAGTTTTTAGTACTTTGCACTTTTCCGAATGTATTAAATACTTATTTAAATTCAATAAACACTGTATTTTTGTCTATAAAACTATAAAAGTTAATAAACAACACATTTTAAAGCATTTATTTTATTTTATAATCTGTGACATTTTGACTAAGATTTATGCTGGTCTTTACAAATATTCATGATATCAATGTACGGTCACTCCATGGTACACAATGATAACAAACAATTTATTAATTACCTTGCAGATATCCAACGAAAAATACTCATCAGTCACTATTGTGTCATAATTTAATTTGATTTTAAATTTTCGTCAATTACTAATAATTTAAACACATATTCAGCGGATAGATGAATGAATCTATTATTTACATTTTAATTATAGGCAGTGTCACCAATGGGTGATTTTTGCCCTCATGTTTTTCGTCTTATTGTTATCCTTGCTTTCATCATAAACCAACTCGTATTGAAAACTTTGTACAAATTGTCTAAACCATCTAAAAAAATGTTAAGAATTAAAAAAAAAACGTTTTAACTATGATTTGTATGAAGAAATAATTGTATCAATTTCGATGTCAGATTTTAGGTACTGGACAAGGCATGTATGTTGAGACGCCAAAGTTAAATTAGACCATATGGTAATGGTGAAGGGTATTATTTTAGACAATGCCAAAAAAACTATAATATAAAATTTAGTATCCCCTGAAAAAACCAGCGAGACGTACTAAATAGGAGTTTACACGTTTATCAATATGACGAAGAGCGTGAAGTTAACGGAAAAAACAGGTCACTAATTTCTGCTATAAAACCATTAATTACTATTAAATCAGTACTATTCAACGATACCATTTTCCAAACTATTTAGAAATTACCATTACTTTTCTGTGCTAACTTCACGTATAGTGGGTGAGGTATCGACACCAAAATTCGCTAAGTTTCCAAATAGAATTGCTCAATTAGTGCGTGGAGACGACGTTACCTTTTTCCAAACTAAAACCACATTTCCCCGAGATTTCTTCCAAGACATTGGATTTTGTACTTTGATAGCAACCAAAGTGACTCGTTCAAAATATTATAATTACATTGCGTTTCCGAAAAATATTTTGACGGTTTGATATTTTATTAAATACGCTCGGTACGATTTATTATCAAATATATTTCGTCGACTTAATCAAATGCATCTGATAGCATAATATTATCATACACCTGTGCAATCGATCTTTCAACAGTTACAAATACATTTAACTTTTTATCGTCGTTTATTTTTTTATATGGGTACGTTTATTATAGCTGTCGTGCAGTACAAATTTCTAGAACGAAACAAAGCATCACGTCAAAAAGTTTTAAGTGTCCGTGTGCAATTGAAGGTTATTTGACTACGAGGGATAACAACCTGCAGATAAAAGAAATAAATTGAACGAAAACAATAACAAAACAAAACAAAAAAAAAAAAATGTAAATCAAAATGAAAACGAAATAAAAATTTCGTTCAGAGCATAGTGCGCGAAACTTGTATTATACACGCGTAGTACACACTCGGCAAGAAAACACTCATACAGAAACATTGTTTCCGGAGGTCATTAACAAGTGTAAGGTGTTTTTCACTCAAAAAGTTTCAACACACACTCACACACGTGTCAACATGTGTGTGTGTGTCCCGACCGAGACTTTTTCCGCTCCATTCGACAAACATATACGACTATACAATACCCCTAAGTCGTTCATATTTTTCGTTACGTACCCGCCACCGCCGCCCGTGTGATAGCAGTCAATTATTGCGCTTGAAAATGTTATTATTTCCAATGTACATAGTACCTATTATAGGTATTAATCATGTTATACATAAAACTCGAAGCGGACGAAAAAACTGTCACTATGGAGACACCACTGCCGCCCACCACCGTGTGCACAAAGCGATGAAAAAAAAAATAAAAAAGCAAATAATATTTTTTTAGAACTGTTCGAGTTACAACGAAAGTTTTGTTCGGCGTCGGCGGCGAAAGTGCACTGTGTTTCTACTGTTGTATAGGTATCATAAATATTGTCATCGACGTTTTCCAAATGGAAAGTCGAAAAACATCGGTGAGAACCACTGATGAAATTGAAGCGTTTGATGAGGTGGGCAATTATTATTCAATTATAATTATCTACCTTCTCATATAATATGCATTAGGAGGATTTATGGAGTCGGTACAAAAGCACAACATATCAACATAGCAAAATGTACAATCAGTAGCACTGATTTTGCGTTGTTAACTTTACTATTAAAGTAAGATATTTACTTATCATCAAATTTTAAGGTAAGAATATTAGCCTCGTAGGGTTTTATTGATATTTTAATTTTAAAGTGAATAATGAGAATTTTAGAATTACTGCAATATTTTAAATTGTTATAACTCACTTTAAATTTAAAATATCAAAAAATGCTTACGAGATTTGATTGATGATATTTTTACCTCTAAGTTTGGTAGTAATTGGTCAATTCACTCTATTAGCAATGCTAACAACACAAAATTGTTTTAAGAAATGTATGTGAAATAGTTTATAATTAAAAACTCACTTCAGTTGTTATTTTAATGCAAATGAAATATAATCAATAATAACCAAAACGTACAATAAATTAATAATAAAATGTTTTGACCATCGAAATTAGACTGTTATTGCGGTTTTAAAAATTAACTCGAACTAGAATGAACTTGACAAAACAATGAACATGGAACCAGTCCGGCAATTTAGTCTTTACGACGATGAATACAATAATCATCGTTAGTAATGGGAATTGACATCAACCTAAAATATTTAGATGAATTCACCAATTTATTTCGATCTAATTATAACAAATTAACCATTAGTGTGGCTTTTATTTTTTGTGGCCTATATAAATATTGTTTACCAACGCTTTGACAAAATATTTTACACTAACGAGCGTACCTATATAATATTTTATATGCTATAAATAGTGTATTAAACATTATCAAAAATATGAATGTGTCAATGATTGAACAAATTTACGTTCCTGTTCACTGATCTCATGTTTAAAATTTTTAAGCTGGTTCTTAAAATTAATATTCAATTAATTTAAGTTTGTTTTTACGTATAGATACAGCCAGAAGACATCTGTGGAACGTCTTCGAAGCACCATCAAACTCATCAATTACGGATATGGGAAGGCCAAAACATCCATGAAGATCCAAAGAATGCTGAATCGTACGAAATCGAAAAACGGCAAGTGATCATCATGGTCAACAACTTCATCACAAAGATGTACATTGACAGTCAACGGTTCAAAAAGAATGGTTCGAAATTATTTACTCGTATTTGAGATGTGATAAAATTCCCGCTTCAAAATGTATACTTTATGCATCGTAGATAGACATTATTATATATAGACATTGTTAACTAACATACTTTTTTATTAGACGATAAGACCGAAAAAAAGTATGAGGAAATGGAGGATTTAATGGACCGAGTAGAAATAGCTCATGATTTAATTACCAGACTCAGACAATTGCTAACGATGGAGAAAACCGACTCGGTAATGGACCATTCGTTGAACAGGACGAGGTTTTTTAAAATGGACGACGACTATAGTGAACATATTTTTTATTTATATTTACATCGGCTACTCATATGCCGCTCTAGGTACACTTACTTATGGTGGACATTTTTCAGAAATACAAAACGAAGAGCGAGAAAATATTCGACAAAAAGCGTTGGTCGAGAAAAGGAGAAAGGTAAAATTGTTCAGTGAAACCATAGACTCGATCGCCGAAAGATATAATTCAGTGGTGGAAACGATAAATGCCCCGAATGATTACAAGTTTCTAGACGGTATTGAAATATTAAAACGTTTAGTTATTTATATTTTCTTTATCATTCATAAGTTCACAACATTTACGTTGTCAGAGTTCAAGACGAATACAATACCTTTGGAATTGAAAAAAAACATGACAAAAAAGAAAAGAGATACGAAGGTAAGAATGTAACAATGAATTGTTCGAGTAAAAACTTGTAATCAAATTTATGAAAACCTTTACGGACTTTACAATTTTTAAGCTCTGAAAACATGGCTGTGTGTAACTTCGTACAACTTTTTTTATGAAAAGTCAAACATCCCTGATGATGTGTCCTGACTTTAAAAATGTCTCAAATGCTGCAGTACTATTGTCAATTACGTATAATATTAAGCTATTTCAACGTCTCTATTGAAATGCCAAGGTTTTGGTTTGAACTCCCCAAACTTAAGATGAAAAAACGTACTTAAATAGTAATGATCCCTAATGATGTTTAACCAACAGGGTACGGATGGATATTAATACGATATAACGTAGGAAGAAAAACATATTATTACGTTTTGTTATAATTTGCTTTTAATTACGCTCTGTTATCGGGGTTATCGTTTTGTTTTTAAACAACAAGTTTGTATCGTACTTTGAATCTTAAGTATACAGTTTTATAAAATAGAGAACACAATAATGTAAATGTAATGTACGTACGAATGTTGTCTTAGCTTTATTCGTCCAATTTGCTAATTAACAGCTGGTATCTACAAAGAAGCTTATCGTTTTGACTTATGATTACTCCTCGTTATATTTTTTATTCAGTAAACAAATGTTTATACAAACAACACGTAACTAACATAATTTTATAAAAGTATTAGAAGATAAATTTGTTTCTTGATTCGTACTGTGGACAACATTAAGCACAGTGCAGTAGTGTTTACTATGTTTTCGTTATTTCAATACTTTCGAAAACCTTCTGGGAAATAAAATATAACGGAATTTTAGATTAAAAGTTCAGCAAAATCTCACAAGCTATTGAAGTCAGTTTAACGTGTTGCCAATCTAGTGCATTTAAACTCGCCTAAGTACTTATTGTACAAATGAAATAAATATATTATAAAATCCCTTTTAAAAGCAAATAGAACAGTATAGAAAGTTTGAAACACCGATGGTATAAAAAAAATTACTGCGAACGGAATTAAAAAAACATATTTCGGTCGATTGCATTTGTATTTCAAATATGAACCGAGAAACTCGAATAAAACAATTTGTTTAGGACATAAATATCTATTATTAAATTAAATAATATATTAAGAAAAATATTGTTATTCGGAAGAATATTAATCACCGCATACAAAGTTTTAATATAAATCCATTCAAATTTAACTTTAATCCCAGCAACAGCTGATTGCAAAGCGACGTGATGTTTACTACGGTACAGTCTTAAAAACTTTCTAATGGGTTAGAACAAATTATAGCTTTCAAACCCAAAACCAATGATCGTATTGCAAATTCATTCAAACCAACAGTTGAAGTACCCCAATGGAATATTAATTATATGGTTTTTTTAAAAAAAAAATAAAAAATAAACTAAATAGTTAATTTCTTATACCATTAAATGCTTTAAAATGTTCGTTTCGATTTTAAATTTATTAAACGGTCTACGTTTAAAAAGTTAATTAAAATGTATGGGGAACATTAAAAAAAAAAAAACTTTAACAAAATTAAGTAGTCGAAGCCTTTATTCCTAATAAAAATAAAAAAAATTGATCATTTTATACAATTAAACTTAGTCAGTTTCTAAATTGTATTATGTTCGAACAAAGGTAAAATGCTCCATTAAAAACGCATGTATCTATCCCACGTAATATATTATAATTGAGTATATATTGTATGAAAAAAATAATGCAATATGTACGTACTAAATAAATACAAAAAAAAAAAAATTAAATATGTACTCAATAATATTATGTACTCTGTACCCATGTAATATTATATTATATACCAATAACGACTGTTATTTTATGGGACAGCAATTTATTTTTCTAATTCTTATTTATAAGTGAACTCGACTGTTTGTAAATAGTAATGTTAATTACACCGCTTTTACCACCAATAATTGTTCAAACTACAACTGTCGATTACTATTGCTGTTTTGAAAAAAATACAATTGCATTAGATTAATATTATAAAATTTGAGAACCATATTCGAATGAGAGGATTTTTTCATTCAGTGCAATCGAGTATTTTTTTTTTCAAATCTCATTCGGTTATTAATCATTCGATACTCACGAACAGATTTTGCAATTAAAAACCAAAAATAATATTAAGAACAGTTGGATCGTTCGAATCATAACCACTGCACGATAACCTTCAGCAATCCGCGTGCAAGACATCAAGTGCCTGCAAAATGCAACGTATGGTCGTTTTGTTATTTATTAGATGCATCATATATACGATTCGTAAAAAACGTGCCTATGTTGTAATATCGAAGCAGGATTAAATTTTTATCGGAACAAAATCCGACAGAATATCCCTCGATGGGTACGGCGGAGGCGGCGCGATATGCAGATACATCAACCGCGGCGAAATTCGCGAAGAAAATAAACAGCGCGGCAGAGAATGGGAAATGTTAGTAAAAAAAAAAATCATTCATTTTTAATATTCTTTCTTTTTTTATTATTATTATTATTATTATTATCCGCACAGAAAATCTACCTGAAAGGATTCCGCGCGGTGTTGGAGAAAAAAAATTCTAAAACATACCGACCATCAATCAACCCGAGGCCAATATACATATACCGGGTATACCACCTACGTTTGTAACACGCTCACATACGTGCGGATTTATTATGTATAAATCATATGATATATTATGGTTGCCAGCGACTGTATAAGAATCGTCGGTGTCGAATGATATGTGTAATAATAATATTATTAATATACGTAAACTCGGGAGGCGCCTTAAGGCCACGTTATGGGTACCTCGCCGTACCGTCTGCATTACATTATAACGGTATACAGGATGGTTCAACAAGCACGCGAGCCCTTTTTTTTTCTTCGATAATGCGGCAGCTCAAAATCTGATTTTTGAAATTTTCGAATTAAAACACCATATTTACAAATTAGTGAGATTCTTTGTGCTACTTAAGGAGTGTGTCCAGTAGAGGTACAGACGTCCGTTTTTCATATGAGAACGCCCCTTTTCAACTGTTGATTATAAGGTGGTTCATTTTTCCGAAAATGTTGAAGTATTAAAATCGAAATTCGAAAGAGTAGTTCTAAACTCTAAAGTTATTTGATTTTGAGTTCTAAGGATAAATGACCCATGGCCTGCATGAATTTATACAATATGGAGACATTAATTTAAAAAAATATAATATTCATGAAAATATTCTATTAACATAATATAATTATGATGTTAGATGGCTACTAAACTATATAAATTATCGAAAAAAAACTTTAATCTTTTAAAATGTATTATTGTTGAAAAATTTGAACTTTTTACTTTTTCTAATGACGACGTACGTTCTTAATTCCAAATCAGAATATAGCAAGAGTACTTTTATACATATAAATCGAATTTTCTACACGAGTATATAATATTTACGGGTGGGTTTATTATGAATAATATGATGCAGGAGCGTTGGAAAAAAAGAAGAAAAAAATCATAAGAATCGTAGGTGTCAAATTATATGTGTAATAATAATATTTTTAATATACATAAACTTGAAAGCCGAATAAAAAGCCACGTTAGGTAAATGTATTATATTTTAATAGTATAAAGTTAGGTTACCGGGTGATTCTTTTATCGAACAACTCAAAAACTACTTACTAAAAATGAACTAGGTCATTTCAAAAACTAGGTATTAATGTTGTCGATAATATTTGAAAATGAAACTTTTTTACCTAATTTAAGGTCGTTAAAAATATGATTTTTGAGGAAAAAAACTATATTCTTAACCATCCATTATTGATATCATTTTTTAAGTTTTACTTTTTCGAATGATAACATGTTTTTTTAAATTTCAATGCGAAATATATCAAGAACTGGAGTGTTCTGGAACGACCTAATATTATAAAACCAAAAAATATTTTTAAAAACGTTAACAATTTTTTAAACAATGAGTGTTTTTCGATAAAGAATCATCCCTGATGATATTGGCGATTGTAAACTCCGTCATTTTTATTTTCTTACCTGTAATAGATATGTATATGGAAACTCCTCCAGTGCTTCTGTAAACTTAATAAAATATGATCTATTTCAACTAAAGAAGCTCAAAAATCCAAAATGATGGTATTAGAAAACGTTATAAATAGTTGTAATAACGGATTTATATTAGACTGAGATGTCAGAATATCTACAAACTGTGTCTCATCATTTTAGTTCCACATATTATAACATAACATAACATAACATACCTACCAGGGTTGCTAGATACATAATTTACGATTATTACAAAATTATTTATTATGATAATACATTAATACCTACACATGACGATTTGGATGATTTGTTCTGACAATTATTATTTTTATTAATTTTTGTTTATTTGTTGGCATATTATGATAATGTACATGCTATCTGTTCTGTATATTAATTGTATACTGTGCCTTGATTTTCTTCACTGACAAATTTTACATGAACTTCTTTTTACTTAATTTTTCCCACTGGCAGAGTTTATATGAACCCGATTTTACCTGTTTTTTTTTCCTGGCGGAATTTACACTAAAAAAAGGTACTTGTGGCAAAGTTTACATGCGCCCGGCGATATGTCGGGGTATATTCAGGTACATATTATATGTTGCCATGCCGGAGAATCGAGAGTGGTAATAACCAATGTTAGGGTGCATTAGTACGCGACTTGTCGTCTCAAAACCGTAACCGTGCATTTGTAGTTCTGCTCAATAACCATCGTGTAAGATACTTAAAACATGGTGTTACAAACTTGCAGCTATTACCTACCTATAATAGTATATACAATAATAATAACATTGTTGAAACTTGTCTACATTCCCGGAAACATATATATATAGGTAACCGGGTTGCACCGTCACCGTTGAAAACAGTTTAATTAATATATACAGTCTTTGAACTGCAGTTGTCTGTATACATTTGGTGTTAAAATAATAAATGACGTAGCACATACATCTTTTTGAAGTCACGTAGGTGTATGATAGGTATTATTAAATTGACAGAATGTGGCATACACGAGTGGGCTAATAACTCAAAACTTTTTTTTTTAAAAACCTCGTTCGCGTTCTACTAATATTATATTTCTATTTCACAACTTGTATAGGTACCTATAATATTGAAACGAATATTTTTACTTTAAAATTATTTACTAACTGTATTAAGTAGGTATTTTATTTTTCATCCCGGAAGTAAAAACGTTTTAATGAGGTGTATTATTCAATATAATAGGAAAAGTAGTCAAGTCACGATTGATAATAGGTAGGTTCAAGTTATTGTAATATGTACTGTGTTTGATTATCATACGGCTGTAATTCATATGCTGTATGAATTATTGATAATTTTTTTAAAATGTAAGCAATACGTACAATTCGACTAAATCCAACCCGTAGTTATTGTCAAAAACTATTCTCTGTAGTGCAAAAATTTCCACCACGCCGTTCACAACGATAAGACCTTTTATTCTGTGGACAAACCATAATATCGAAAATGTAACCCCACCCCCATTCAAGACCACCAATACAGTTTGCTGCAGACTACGAATCACGATAATATTATTAAACATATTATTAAGATTATTTCTGTATAATGTTGAGGTATATACGTAAATACATATTATGGAATCTGGGTGACCGTTTTCGGGATCGGGAAAAAAACTCGGCCGTTGTATTTACGCAATAAACTTTTTTTCCTTTTCGTCCGATTCGTTCTTCGGTTTGCGTAGTCGTCGTGACCCGAAATCCGCACGTTATGCTAACAAAAACAAGATCACAGCAGGCTAACATTAGGAGGAGACCCATGCTCGTATATAGGCAGTGTTGTCAGTTTAAAATTACAGCAGGTGGTCTCATTATTATTTTTTATGTACATAGTATGAAAAATATAACATTTTAAGAGAAACTAAAGAAAAAAATAGTTAGATTTTATATTCCATTGAATATAGTACATATCGTACCAGTATCACCCGCACTCCGCAGTGTCGTTAGCAGACCATGTTTTCAACTATTGTCCGTTTTTAGAAGATCAATACTTTATATTTTTTTTTCTCGGAAGATGCGACGAGTATCGACAACGAGATCAACATTACAACAATAATCAGGCACGTAGCCAAGGGATGTTTTAATTTAACACCGTCTTAACACCCAAAAATCTGCACTTCCTCGTCAATGCTTCCAATTTAATAATAATATATACTCGTCTTTGTACCTATCAATATGACCATTTAGTCCAAATTAATTAAGCCCGCAGATACTTACACAACACACACAAATGCGTATACGTTTAAGGATTTTGAATTGCATGAGAATTATATATATCATTCATTATACATTTACATAATATGCGTATAAAATTAACCAAAGATGATTTAAATGACGACAGTATTGTTAATTTTCAACAGTGAGCGATTGTAATGTTATACTCGCTACGCTGATGTGATGTGCCCATTTTAATACTTTCAAACGAGGATAAGATCGCAGAACTGTATTTCTTTAATGGTCTACGACCAAATTTGGCTACCTGACCCAATCTCTGCTCCCCCCCCCCCCACCCATATAGAGGTATTAACCTGAGCTTGGATCAGAGTCCTCTACATTCTCATACATACCACCACTGGCCGTCAGGGTGAAATATGTGGGCGTGTCCATTTTCAAACACGTTTACAAAATCGTCCACGACCCCGTCACGATAGGCCGCGAGTGCCTACTCAAAAATCGTATCACACGAGTATTTTGAACGTTGTGAAGTAATTTTCTACGGACGTCCTTGAAGCGCTGTAGATACGTTATCTGATCGATTTGTTCGTGGAAACTCGACGTTCGACGTGGACAAATGGATATAGTATTATAAAGACACTGTAAAATTGCACGTTTCCACGGATTAAAAAAAAAAAAACATATTAACGCGGCCAAAGGGTGGATTTAAGAGGAGGTCTTTAAATAAATCTTCTCATAAAATGGCTCTTAACCCAGCTGAGACGTCGCACAGCTCGTCACAAACCGCGACGTCTTCGGTTGAAAACCATTCGTCCATAATATCGTCGTCGGACAGCCACATGAACCGAACCTACCCTCATTGTCGCGGAGAGCACAATTTTGTAGATAACGTATTTCTCGCGATCAGCTGACAAAAAACACGCGAGTCCCATACACGACGGCTGCAAATAATGATAATATTCTCATAATAGTAATAATAATGCATATTGTTATATTATTATTATGAATCATAGTCAACCTAGGCGGTGGGAAGGGGGTGTAATTGCAACGTCGACGACCACGACCACTACTTGGGTACCTGCGATGTATTGCCACCGTAATAACAATATTATTTGGGATAGTAATAGGTATAATGTGACTACTGCGGCGACAGTGACTAACACGCGTTCGGATGACGTATACAAATAGCGATTATTATTAAACACGAGCGAACAATAACAACAGTGTAGGTTAGTAGTAGTATAATCGATAATAAACCGAATAACGTATGCGCGTTGGTATTATAATAATAAATTATAGGAGCGATAACAAAGATCTTTTTTTTTTGGCAAAATATTATGACGAATTTCTCTGGCGTAGCGTAAAATCAATAATATATATAAATGCCAAATACCGCTGACTGCATCTCAAAAACTACAAAACGTAAAAACTTGAAATTTTGAATAGTGCAGATACGACTCAAATGGCCTTGGTGTGCAATAAGCTGGATTTTTCAAAATTATAAATTAAAGATATGCTGATATAACTTATATAACTGGTTTTGAGAGGTATCAGAAAAAATGTAGAAAAGAATCTCCATCCAATCCGCGACTTGGGGTAGCCCTCCTAGGTCAAACTATTTCACAAAGCTAAGTACACTGACGCCGATTTGTCCACCGATTTGATCTAAGATACACTTAAGCTGAGAATCACTAATACCGAGGTACACCTATAATATAGCTTAGGTATATACTAGATAAGATTTGCAACAAAAAAAAAAAACTGCACACGGGTGAAGCCGGGATATTTAGCTAGTACACTGTAATATTGCAAAATTGCACCAAATATGGAATAGTGCGGCTCATTCTAGTCACCTCCCATTCTCATCCTATAAAAAGGTGCAGCCCCCGATTAGCAGGTAGCTCATAATTATAAACGAGTTATAAAAGTAGTATTTAGCCTTTTTCTATAAATAGAACCCACCAAACGTAAGATATCTATTAAATACAGATAAATATCGATGATGAACATCGAAGTTTTAGATTGAGCAAAGACCCTAAGTGACTTAAGGTCACCTGAATGGTGGCGAAGCGATAACAAACAAGTACCCATGTGGACTATTATTTAATTTAATACAATAATATTACATTATTACGTTATAACAAACATTAGTCTTATTAAGCCCCGTTCACACGATCAAATAATTAGACATGGATAATATAATTTTTCTATTTTATTACATTTTTGAGTATCATAAAAAATTGAATATTAAAAGAATAGTGTATGACTTATGACATGAAAGTTTTGATGAACAGAGAGGAGTGGTCAACAATAGGATACCCACGAAATGTTAGCTCACTACTCCGCACATCTAAACTTTATGTACCTACCTACAACCTAATGACCTAGGTACTTCCCGATAATTTTTATAGATCGGTGCATAGTTGGAAAGATATTCTGATTCGGAGTATGCAATTAAAGACGTATTTTGTCATTCAATAGACTTAACACAATACTGATGGTAAAAGAAAAAAAAATAATATAAAAAAAATGTTCACTCACGACGACTTGAAATTTCCCAGTACCTCGGGGAAGAAATATATTCAAAGATGTTTTCTGAAATAGAGCGTGTCTATAAAGCTGCATCGCCCCGCGCATATTAGGTACCTATATGAATATTGTTTGTAGATTATAGAAACGAGGCATCTCTAGGCGGCACCACTCAATCGGATAACTGCATTTAGGACGCGGTTCGAATAAGGTCGACATATAAATGCACTGCGCCTGCAACTCCGGTTGAAAAGCCGAGCAGACGACGACGACTGTTTCACTATTATTATATTTGTACAAAACAATTTAACCGTTTCGACGGTTCAACGGAATATTATAATGCATTGCGTTATTGTCGATTGCAGAACGAAGGCAATAAAGAAGCTAGTTCCATACTCTGGTCGCCTTTTGAAATATTGAACGGCAGAATCGTCGACTCGGATGTTAAACCCACTTACCGTATCATCGGCACCGATGTCACCAGCTACAAAACTATATACAACTATTCTTGCACTCTGTACGGACTCTACGGTGGGTTTACTGGCAAAACGTAAGCGTGACATATTTTTAAACAATAATCCTGTCGTTTTTTTTATTTCGAAAAAAACCAGCATCCGACAACAGAATCCGAAAAAAATGTACAGTTTTTCTTTTCGCAGACTGCAGTGCACGATTTATTAGCGAAAGAAATTCGTGTTCTATTTCTCGTGTCTGAATTATTTTGCAATCTTCTACTTTCTAATTAATTTTCAGTAAAAACAACTAGTTTTTCTATTTGAAACGCCACACAGACAAACGAATACAAATTAACTTTCGTACCAATTAGATATTTCATCCATCATTCTACAGTTTAAACAATGTTTCTACTTTTCTAGTTTATACGAACATTTTTAAATGCACTTCATATAATTTTTTTTCCGAGCTGTAATTTAATAACCGGCTGACACCGGATAAAGTGTAACGGAAAAAATCGTTCTATTAAATTCAACTTTCCTAGATTTTATAGAGGACATAATTTTATTGAAAACCAATTATAAAATTTACATTCAATAATCGATTAATTTATAGTCATAATAATGGAATAGATCTTTAAAATTCTGATAAAACTTTATTTGTAGTTGAAGGTAAAGGTTCGAAAAAAGAAAAAGCCAAAGAAGACGCGGCTACAGAAATGATCCGTCAAATACTAAATGAGCAAAATGCTAAAACGCTACCAAATCATTTTAAGCCGTTCAATGAACAAGAGTAAGTAATCGAAATCTTCAGTAAGTATAGTAATTATTGTTATTAAGTATATAGTATATTATAAACATAACAGATTTCATTGTTTCATATTTCGATATGCGTTAAAGAGGTTGTACAATTATAGGTAAATAACGCAAGTAAATATAAACACGAACACTTCATTTTTACAATAATATTGATATCATGCTAAAATTAAATACTGATATTTCTATATATACATATAGATTTAAAATAATCAAATCATGTTATCGATACGTTTTCTTATTTCAAATTATTGAATACATTCGTTTTTAATTCTAATATTCATTAAATATAAATATAACAAAATAATTTATGAAGCAAATACAGAAATAAATATATTGATTTGTTACACCCTGCAATTTATTAATATTTAATAAGCCTGCATCGAGAATTTGTAATGATTGAAATATTTACTTTTGCGGATTTGTATTATTGATCAAAACAGAATTCATCATATTTCAAATATATTGTGCTTCCATTATAACATTATTGCAATATTTTAAGACGTTCTAATTGTCGTACCTAATGTACATCGTATACTGGCAAATTACACATCAGTCGATGTTCCAGGAACTCGCAGTTTTTGTAGGTACCTACTTAAGGAATTTGCAAAAGGATCACATACTTTCATTGCTTACTATTTACTCAGATACCTATAGTCAATGATAACAAACTATATAGGCTCTCTTACATAATAGAACACCTATAATATAGCCACCCGTAATTTATCCTTCGAAAATGGAGTTGCGCAGGACAGAGTCACGGATACGGTATTCACAATAGACTTACTAAAGGTTCACAATACGTCTTATATGTTGAAAAGAACTTAATCGTCTTAATTTATACTCTAGTCACGTTAAGAATGAACTTCGGCGGCCAACGTGTGCACAAGGGTTACGTGGCTTTTCTACACGTACTGTGGTTGACTCGATGGGCCTGAAAAACTGATTCCTTCTCAACAAATAATATGTAGTGACGATTTTTTTTTTTTTTTTTTTGATAGCTTCAAGATAATCCAAATCATTCATTCGAAAAGATTCATTTTTTTTTTTGTTTTTTTTTCATTCACAAAAAATGAGAAAAAAATCAGCATTGATATCAAAACAAATATAATATATACAGTGTAGTGTTTCTTTTTAAAGAGGTAACACTAAATAATTCTGTCCAGTGACATCAGATTGATATGCGGTTTTCGGGAGTAGATATGGAATACATAAATACACATTACTTGATGATTCTTACATTTTTAGATCTTTCCGTGTGCGCATGCGCAATACAACTTATATTTTTTTTAATGGCAACGGGTGCTTTGAATACAAAATTCAGATAGACCTAATTTTTTTAATTCAATTTGATCCTTTTCACTATAGCTCTAAAATCAAAATTGACTAAATGACAGCGAGTTTTAAGTTTCGATTAAAATTATTGAATTTTTCAACAATCGAACTAGAATTTTATGAATTTTTATATAATTTCAAGTATTTTTTTTTTTTGTATCCGTAGGCTTACAGACATTATTAAATCATTTAAATTTAATTTTGAGGAATTAATTAACATCAATTAGATGTAAATGTTTAATTTACTAAAAAAAGATTAAACAAACTGATATGATAGATTTCTCATGGATAACTTATATAATTAAAGTTTCAATTCAAATTATTAATTTTATGATTTGTTGTTATATTTCGTGATACAAGTGGGTAATTACTTATAATCTCTATGATTATTTTATTTGTAGCCATTCATTAAATAAACCAAATTTACTAAAATGCAATAATTTTAATCGAAACTTTAACTCGTTGTCATTTAATCAATTTTTATTTTAGAGCTATGTTAAAAACGACCAAATTTACTTAAAAAAATTTGTTCTATCTGAATTTGGTATTCAAAACACCTGTTGCCGTTTAAAAAAATGCAAGTTGTATTGCGCATGCGTACACGAAAAGATCTAAAAATGTAAAAATCATCAAGAAATGTGTATTTATGTATTCCATATCTCCTCCCGAAAACCACATATCAATCTGATATCACTGAACAAATTTATTTAGTGTTGCCTTCAAAAAGAAACACACTGTAACTGTATATATTTATAAAAAAGCTACGACATTGATAAAGTAGTGTGAATATTTTATTATACTTGTACGACTGTAAATAATATAATCGTAAGTCCGTCCCGCGTGAAACTATTTTTATAATATCTAATCTTGTTACTAACCATTTTTGGTACTGACATGGGACCATTTTTAATCTTTTAAAATACTTCAGTCGTGTAGCCAGGGGGCCGAAAAACTACAACCTTACTTCCCCGAATTTTAAAAATGCTTTCAGTGCTTTGTAAACGCATTACGTAAGACGTAACCATATATTAAAATTGTAATTTGTTTGAAGGTAGCTGCAAAAGTCTAAAATGCTGTAAGCCCATATTATGCATCATCATCGCAAACCAATGAAAGATGTTAGTTAAATCTTCCTATAAAAAAAACTTACAAATTTACTCTATGAAAAATTAAGATAAATTAATAAATATATATATATAAATGCATATTATCCTGGATCTTTGAAATACTTTGAAATAGTATTTAAGGTTTTAAATTTCAATTCTTGTCAAAATATCATTAAAATTCTCAACATCAAACCTCCTAAATATTGAGTGTGTCGTGCATGTCATCTTCAAAACTGATATCGAATAAACACAAAATGTACTACTATTTGCTTAGTGAAATCTCACTTATCAAAAATGTATTTTATTTAGTTTTACAACCTTGTATTTTAGTTATAGTTTATAAAATATACCTAGTCAATATCCATAATCCATCACATAATATCAATAACTGTTTAATTATATTTTTGTGTATAAGGCTCACAGCGATAATAGCACTAAAATGATAATTATCTATGAAATTTTTTTTAGAATTAATGACCTACAAGCTTTGCTCAAAACGAAACAAAATTATACGGAATTTTTAGAAGAAACGACTAAAGAAGATATTCCATTACCATTAGAAATCAAATCTAATGTGAGACGTACTTAGCAAAATATGTCAACACATCAATAAATTAACAAGAGTATAACTTTAATAGGTTCGCTATCATTAAATTAGGCACTAATACTAATCACACAAATCATAGTTATCTAATGCAATTTAAAACAAACAATCATGATTCATAAGTATACTTATTTACTACTTATAGATATTGTAACAGATAAGTTTAATTTGTTTACTATATACTGCAGTCTGTAACCATTATAATAATTATAAAAAAGAAAATGAAGAATATTTTGTTGACCATTATTTGTTTTTGAAAACCTATACCTAAATTAAGTTTTGTCTCGGCTATCTGCATTTTAGTCGAAAAAAATAAGATACAATTTACCGTATAATAGTTTAGTATACTTTAATTGCATTGTGATAATCGTCAACATCGTCATCATAATATTGAAGCATTCAATTGTATTTTTATATAAATATAAATATATAGCATTATATACACTTCTACGGCGTAAGATTTTTTTTTAACGAAAACTGTTCCGCACAAAGTTTAATAAACTCGAAGTGATGTACTTGGACTGTATAAGTTTAAACAGGAAAACAAAAAAAAAAAAAAACAAGAATAACCAATAGCAGTAAACGGAAAACATTTGAACAAAATAATAATAAGTTATTGCGTGATACCGACGTAGGTATAAATACTCGCGTGGCTCACGAGTGATCAACGGTGTATAGCCATTGTAAAATTGCGAAAACCGAACGTGCACGCGGAAATGCTCATCCGACGAATATAATACAAACTGCCCCTATCTCGGTGCGGCATAAATGTCCTTCCATTTATTATACAGACATCGTGCTACACTCGGACATCGGACTTGAGGTGCGTGTGCGTGTGGGTGGGTGGGTGTGCGTGTGTGTGCGGGGGAGAGAGCGTTATAACATTCATTTTACCCTCTTGCAACACAAAACTCGGTCAAGCGTGTGACTGGCTGACAGACGTAGCATTTATCGGTACCACGTAAGTGGGATTAATTCATTTAACTACACCCCCTTCCTCTCTAACGACTTATACGTATTATATATTATTATATGTGTGCGTACATGTACATTTTCTCACTGGATATAATATAATAATGTATAACACAATATTATATAATATGTCCGTTCAAGCTTGGAATTTTATGGAAGTACAAAATATGTATTCATAATGTACAGTTTACCAGCTCGGAAAAGCGTTAAACACGTTTCCAACGGGTTTTGGAAGAAAATTATATTTAAGTTAGTTTATATATTAAACATTGTATCATACATTCATATTTCACGTTTTCTATAAACTCTTATTTCACGCAATAACAAGAAACTTATTGATGAAAACGAGACAAAATATTTTACTGTGTGAAGAAAATGATAACATGATCATTCTGTGAATTTCAATTTTCAAGTATCTGTGGTTATTCGTTTTTGAATTACCTACAACAAAATAAGAAAATTTGTTTTGCCAAATACTGGTAAAAAAATGTCTGTTTTTTCATAACATTTTATTTTGTTTTTCCCAATTATTAAGAATAATAGGTACTGGGATGTTTTGAGTTTTCATCCGCCAAGTATCGACTAGATTCACTACGCTATCACATAGTCGATAATCTAAGCATTTTTGGTGCTCAAAGACGTGACGACAAATAACAATCAAAAACATTAAAAATTCAAAAAAAAATTACATCTTTGTAAAGCAAAACATCCATGGCTCCGCTCAAAATTTAATATGAGAACAAGCGATTAATATGTTTATATCATTAAGTACTTGAGTGCTCATAACTATACAATACGTACCTATTCGCACCTATTACTCAATGCGTAAACATCATAGTTATTTTTAATCTTCTTTGCTATTAAATAAATGTATAATAAATATATTATTATACACAGCCTGACTAGTGACTACTAATGAAATTGCCTCATGTTACTTCAGAGATGACCGAGAAACATAACTTTGGGTTACCGCGTGGTCGATTTCACAAAGTTTGAATATATTATTATTTTATGGTTAGATAGGTATAAAGCTGGACGGTTAGTTACGGCTGGTTACGCCTAAATTTTGCTAGAAGTTACCGTTTCCTAAATGGTAACCAAAACTTGCAGCCTTTGCCTAATTATATTATATGGATATATCATTGAAGAATTGTATCGTAAACAATTTGTGGCATACCCACCTCAGCATCAGGTTACATAATATTATTTTTTAATTATTGTGTAGTAGTATTTGAAAGCTTATGACGTTTTTTTTCTCAATATTATAATTATCTAAACATAAAATAAATATTAGTATTTTATTTATTAATATTCTCTATACAACCGTTATAATTTAAACACAACAAAAACAATATTCTCAACGTTGGTATTAAGTTAATAAGCAGGTTAGTACCTATACCAAATAATATTATAATTGTGTAAAAAATTACTTAGGTACCTGGCTTAAAATAACATATAAAACGCTTGGTATTACACACAAGTACTCCGTAGTTCTTGTCACAAGGTTTTTAATGAGAATAAAACCAAAGTATCTTCAATTTTTACTTTTATTTGATATTTCCATTGTTATATACTATATACAAATAAAAATCAAAGAAGTAACTTAGTATAGGCATTAAGAATAGACAATAATAGGCAATAGTAAATAATTCATAAATAACAACTATTTCTAAACTATAATGTTCACGGTTTCATTCAGTAAGTTTAAATACAATTCATAAGGCTCTTAATTATTTTGAATTGAGTTATGAAGTAGTAGAGCATGTATTAAAACTTAATTAAGGTTGATTGTACGATTTAAACAAAAAACATTGATTTCCTAATTTTGGCTAACTACCGAGAATATGTAATTAACCCTCACTATATGTAGTAGTGAAATATCATGGGTATTGAATATCATGTAATATAAAAAAACGACAACTTAATTTACAGTTAATGATATTTCAACACACGTCCAAATTTAATTTAGATCAATTAAATTCTTATAAAAAATTAATACTCTTAAAAGTTTTAATTTTTTAGTGAAACGATTAATATATCATATTTTTTTAGCTTTTTTAATTTTTTTTAGTTGTATTTATATTTTATAACCTTATTTCTTGAGGTCTGCCTCAAAAAAATATCGTCATTACGAAGAATCAAGACCGTTATCTTCATTCTTAAAAACGTATACTTATTGATACTATTGATGTATGAGTATGATTAGTAGGCTTAGGTATGTTAAACCTTACGTTTGTAGACATAAATTATATAGACACTACATTTTGAGGGATAGGTTGTTTTTATGATATCCAAGAAAAATTTTTCTTTATAGTTATGTATATTTCATAACGACATGTATAATATTAAAACTTTAAAATACATAACATCTTTTAAAAATTAAAAGATCAATAACAACATACACGAGATGTTCTAGATCTAAAATGCTTACCCTTAAATAAATTTGATAATAAATCAATTAATTGTAATTATTAAAGCTGACTAAACAAAATAGGTTCTACTTAACACAAATCTGTCATGTTGTACATTTGTTGGACGAAGACAGCATTTAATATTTATATGCTATGTAGAAGAAACGAGTATTCTTCTTAAATTAAAGTTCTGATTTTATTCATTACAGCTGTATGATAGTTTTTTATACTTAAAAAAAATATATTTCAGATGACGTGCAGATGATAATAGTACATCAAGAAAAAATGGCGAATATCAATACAGCTTTCTATGAAAGCAAGAAACAAGGAAAAAAGAACAAATTGTTAATACGAACAATAGTTCCATAAACACGCCACACAGTTTGATACAACGGAATGAAAAATAAGCTAACAAGAGAAAAACCTACTTCGAGCATAAAAAAAATAATTATAATAATAAACATTAGAAAATGTTTTTTTTACTCGTTGTCTAGGTCGTTGTGTAATACAAGTGTTGAAAAGTTCTCACGTCACCGAAGTGTACAATATCTCCTAAAAGGAATTTTTCGCGAACACGGGACCCGTTGTATAATTTAAACTTAATGTATAGCATCATATTATTATGCATAATATACATTATACATCGTCGACGGCGACACAAGAACCGCATATAACTCAACGAAAACACGCGCTGATTAACTGAGTCATATGTTTAAAATTACAAATATAAGTTTTTAAAAACCTAAACTTTTAGTGACACTAATATTTTATAACATTTTATAACAAGATATGATTATATTGATTAAAGCACTCTTCCATATTGAAACTGCAACACTGTCAGCATATTTGTCTGTAAATTTAAACCTCAGTTTGAAATTTGAATAACAACTTTTCATTTTCATTATACTTAATAGAACGAGTATTTAAAATACTTGCTTTTAAGTCTTTACCAATAACGATTATGGAGTGTCAAAGTATAGAGTGAGTAGTGAATTTTTTGAAAAATTATATTTATTGTCCGAAATGATAAAAAAAAACATGATTAACGATCACGGTTTAAGGGTTAGTACAAATTTCAGACACGGAACTGAGGTGGTGGTTTTAATCGTGTGAGCCCAAAACCCCTAAGAGATTTGAGCAGACCGGTTACCTGTTGGAAATAGATAGGTAGTTAAAGCAAACAAATCTGGAGTGTATCTCGAGAAAAAGAGATTCGATAGATGGATGTTTTCATGACCGAGTCACTCATAGATTACAGACATCAAATATTCACTTAAGGTCATTAATTGCAAAATCAGTTGTTTTCAATATACATTGATAAATAATATTTTTAAATTAATGTAAACCTTTATTTCACGGAGTCAAAATGCTTGAAAATGTAGTACGTACAAGGCACTTAAAAGTTGTTATTGTTCTAGAGGTTGAAAAATATCATAAATTAATAGTCAACACTATTTTTTTAATGAGCGCTCAATCCGATAAAAATTTGAATATAAAATATTGAAGAAATATGAACTTAAACGTAATATAAATATTTTAAAATTTTAGTTATTTCTAATCATAGGAACTTGAAACTTAAAAAAAATTGTGTATTTTAATACTATTTATACTGTTACAATTTTACATAATTATACATAGTAAATTTTGAAAATATTTAAAACCAATTTCAAGCAATTTATATCATCAAACCTGTTCTAGCCATTCTATATACGGTATGTCAATATCCACTTATAAGTAAAGTAAATACAAATTGTACACTATGTACTATATAGTATATACTAGTAAACACTTAAAGTCTTATAATATATGACATAATATTATAACAATAAAATAAACTTACACTTTCTCAGCAAACTTGTTTGTGATTCCACCGATGCGCATGAACTTCTGTCAGAGGTAAATTTAAGGATTCCTGATAGGTCTTCAAAATTATTTGCTTCCTGCTGCGTCCATCTAAGTCACACCAACTATGGCCGTAACCACCACATCCGCCGAACGAGAACATGCCTAACTCATAATACTATTTTAAAAAACTCATTTTTATTTAATTTTACTAGTAGTTTAAAAATATCTTAATATTAAACACTATTGTTCACTGATCTCCGCTCAGAGTTATCTTTTTAATATGTAATAATAGCCACTTTGAGTTTCCAAATTTAACACCACAATACCTTGCCCCCATTGTGACCTATTTTTTAGGAGCAAACAATATATGCACTTTCTTACCTTTTTTTACGATAAATATTTAAATCACTAGCTGAAATAAGAGAAAGCGTGTTGAATCGTAGGTACGTAATCGTAAAATAGTTAAATTATTAATATGTATAAATTGTGTTAAAATGTAGAGGATGGAAAAATAATTTACATTACCCAAAAACAATAGATATATTACTATATTACATATAAAAAATGCATTACCCGTATTTTAGGGTTATATACTCAATTTATAAGTATGAACTGAAAAATGTTTCACCCTTTCCTTAAAAGAAGTAATCTGCATAATTTGTAAATACCTATAATTGTAAGCACAAACTCAAAATGTGACATTCCCAAAAAAAACAAACCCCTTTTAATTAATCATTAACGAGTTGATAATCTATGTATATATATCTACCTACTCAACAAATTTTAATCGTGGTTTTATTTATTTGACCATGCCGTCAGAAGAAGCTTCTTCTACACCTGGGATAGTTTAAGTAGGCATTTATAAACGCTCGTATTTTATTTATTTTAACGTGTATTCATGCTCACCGAAAGATTTGCTTTTCATAAGCTGGATGAATCGCTTACGTCGGATAAATAGTACGGGCTCCACCTCCACTACGTCCGATCCATAAGAAAAGTGTGTTTTTAGATTAGTTTGTATAAGTAATAACCATTTCAAATAGTGTAAAATCGTTTATTTTTCAAAAAACTAGTGAAAACTAACAAAGCTAATAATTGAAGTAGGTTATCCGACTGTATAAATAATTTTCAAAGTAGGTAGGAAGGATATTAACTATTATTGTATTTTATTTTAGGTCATTATTGTTGCCTCATTTAAAATGTCTGATATAGGTATTCACGTTTCAGAAAAAATATATAACTAAAAGATTAAAAGATAGAACTAACCCATTTAAACTAGCGATTGCAAGTGTGTGTGATGTGTGTGTGTGTATGTGGAATAGATTGTCTTTGGTCGTGTTTTTTGTCATTTTGGTGTCCGTTTTGATGGTCACTTCTGCAGAATTCCTAGTGCTATAAATGACAGATATGACGAAAGAAGTCGTTCAAACGGAGCGTGGTGCAAGAGTGCCAGGGCACAGTACGTTTCCATTGGCGTATATAACTGTTGGTTTTGTATTTCAGATAAATAATTTCTGTGACAGTTATGTATTCCACGAACGAATGTTGTAAACTATACGTAGTTAAAAATATACTAACTTCAAAACTTATTCTCAGAAATTCTCAGAAATGTTTGTGAAAATTGAGAAAATAAAAAAAACCATTTTATGTGGACTCATAATAATTCCTCCTTTTAGAGAGAAAAACCTTTATAGATAATAGATAGGTACACGATGGAATAAGTATTCTTACATATATAGTGTAACTTGGCAAAAAATAAACATTTATAGTATTCCTATAATTATTCGAATTCAAAAATATTAATTAAGAAATATATTCATTCTAAAATATTTGTGAGTTTTTTCTTAACATTTCGTAATCTAGTACAATACTTCACGGACATGAATAATTTTAAAAAGTACAGTTATTTTATTCTAACTAAATAATTTCAAGAAATGTATAATACTTACTTGTAGTCTTCATTTTTAAATAATTCTTTTATATTTTACTTTTTAATTTAAGTATAAAAATACAAAAACTATTTATTGTACTATATATATATATATATATAGATATAGTTAATCCAACTTATGATTGCCTTTCTTATGTGCAATTATGGTCACTTTCAATTATCATATTTAATACAAAAATGCATTGCTCAATAGCTCATCCCAAAACCCACAGATTTTTCAGTGTAATCGATGTCTACATCTTCACCATTACAGTATAATTTTTTTTTTGTCTGAAATATGAGAAGCCTATTAAATGAGTCAATCAGTAAATAATCGCATTAAAAATAGTTATGCCATAAATATTTGTGTTGTATTAAAATGTAAATGGTGAAAAAATGAAACGTTACCAAAAGCGATTGGTGTAGTTCAAGGTTACCTGGTACATATTCAGCAATATATATTATATAAAATGTATTTTAGTTTGTTTGTGTTAATTTAATTTCAGTACTTTTGTGTGTAGAAACAAAACAAAGCTCTCTTTTTTCTGTCGACCAGACATTTATAATATTTGGATTTTTTTTTCACAAATTAAACATCGGGTCTCATTTATGCTGACGAGTGTGTCGAATAGCAGAAAAGTGTAGCAAATAAAAATGTTAATTAAATACAAAATACAAAATACGCACACTTTTAATGTAATATGTTTTTTCATCATCAACATTGTAGAATAAATTATTAAATTAATTTTGTAAAAAAAACAATATATTATATCGTTGTCATCAGAATTCAAATTTCATCCAAATGGAAAACATTAATTAAATGTTTTTTAACCAATCACGGTACATTTTTTTTCGTACCTTTGTACCTACTAATTGTTCTGTAATATATGTGTGCAATATAATATAAGATTTGGATTAGTTTTTGACATACAAGTAAATGTTCATTTAACAACAGTAAATATTAAATATAACACACAAAAGAACATATTGCAAATCATATTACCTATATTATTATTTAAATTCAATAATAAAACGATAAAGACATACATATTTTAAGTGTTAAGGTAATAATGTGATAATCCTGGGTAATCTGCCATATTTTTTATACAGTACATAATCGTAAATAAACTTAATAACTACAACAACTATCAAACTAGCCAACAATACATTTAAACTATCCCAAAAATTCACCATGTCCGTCGCAGAATTTCTGCACAATGTATTTCTGGGAAGATCGTGAATCTAAAATAAATAGGTAGTTTTAATTTTAAATTGTATTTTTTTATTACTCAGTACAGTACAAACAATACAAATACTTATTAATGTAATTATTACATGATGCACACATAAATAATTAATAACAACACAATTACAATTGTTTTACCTATTTAAGATTATAATGAAAATTTTACCTGGCATCATTAAAAAAATCAAAATCTTTAAATTAATTATTGCTCGTACTCAACATTCTATCAATAGGATCAAATTATAACTGTTGTTTAAGCGGGAAGTAGATGTGTAGAATGTTTGTGATACACAAAGTATTAATGCGAAGAACGTTTAAGGATATTTGACTCAATAGGTATACTATGTATATTATGTTTGTTTTTAATTATAAAATGTATTATGTGTAATGTGTTAAATCTAAAATTCATATTTTAACTCTAATTACAATAATTACAATTAAAACTCGAAATTAAAATAATGCGAAAAAGTTATTTAACTGCTGTATATAATTATTTATTGTATTATTTTCTTCAATAAAACGCGTTGAATTATAAACTAAGTCCAATTTATATATGATATATTATTAAAATTCATAAAGCTCTATTTTCAGTTAAATTTAATTCTAAAATAATAACACATTTTTTATTTATCCTAATTTAATTTTAAACATATTTGATGCACTTTGTTACTTAAGAATTCAGATGAAGAATATCAAAAACATTGATCTAATACGTCGAATTTTGAACAGATATAGGTAATATAAGTGCTTAATACTTACGTTTCCTCACGTTGTAAATGTTATTTAAATAAGAGAAAATAGTTACATAATTTTCACAAAAGCACTTACTGGAGTCATGTAATATTCATCATTTTGCTGGTATGAACATTTAATATCTGATAAATCCATTATCAGTGATTGATATTTAATCAAAAAGTCCTTAAAAAATCCCGAAAGTATATAAAAACAAAAGTTACATAAAATCACATGAACCATTTTATGTGGATTTACCTGAAAAGCCGGAGCAAACAAACAATTGCAACGCCAAGGATTAGCACCTAAATAAAGTTGAACGATGTTACGATTTCGCTGGAACGCATTATCTAATGCATATGTTGGTACCTTCAATAAAATAATACTAAGCATAATACATTCATAAACTTAAAATAATTTGGTTCAAAAAAAAAAAATCATCACTAACTTTAGTCAAATTGTTTCCTTTAAAACTCATAACTCTGCAGCGTGCCAACCAATGTGATCCTTCTAATATGCTTATTGAACTAATCCGATTGTAGTCCAAATGAATGTCCAAAAGTTTTGTGTAATAGCGATTGGTAAGCAAATCGTCCAATGTGGATATCTAAATTTACCAACAATCGTTACTATTTATAATAGGGTATAGTACAAAACACGCTGTTAATTTATTACGATATTATCCCTTATACCCTTGGGTATTTATTACTATATTTAAGCCGATCTCCAATACACGATTTCACGTTTATAACAATACGTGGGCTTAAAAATGTTATAAGACCATTATTTTTCAACGTTAGCTATTAATGAGAATTTTTTTTGTTATTAGCAACTTTTTTCTAAGCTCTTGGGGTCAATTCTCAACAGTCAATACCAACAAACCGTATTTTCAAAACAAAAAAAATATAGTTATCCGATTCTTTTACATAATATACAATTTGCCATAATAATATAATCTAATTTTTTACTTATTTATTTATTTAACAGACTATGTACTCTCTGAAATGTTGATATAACTACAGGCATATTTTATGCAAACTGTTTTAATTTAAAAAAACCTTTAATTTATCCTCTTTCTTCGCCAATTTTCTCAAGCGAAGAGTTGAATCGAAAAAGAGATAAATTGATGAGATTTATATCTATTATAGATGTACCTACACAGAACTATAGCTACTTATTCGTATTTTATTTTGTTTCCCAAATTTATAATTCAAATTTCTGCCGTCAATAACAAACTATATAATAGCGTAGTTAGAACACCTCCATCACTAGTCAATAAGGCAAATACAATAATAATGATTTAATTTTTAATTTTTCAAATTTTTAAATTGTTATTTTACGGGCAGAGCACATTTTTGTATTGATGATGAAATCATACATTTCTGCACCTTCGACTTAGGCCACTAGCGTTACATTAGATTACATCACATTATTTACATTCATATTGAGTTTATACAATTTGTATTTATATTTATAACATATACTTCAAAAATGGCAACAATAGTTCAGAAATAGAACAATAAGAAACAGACAAAAAAGCTGTTCATAAATAATTAAAAACTAATATCAAAATTAGGGTCCGCATCGGCGTTAGACATTATTCACCTCAATAGCTAGTTTGCAAAATAATTAGTGGTGTTATGTGGGACGCAAAATAAGGAGCAGGGGATCGGGTCGAATGCTGAGGTATACCTTAAAACAATTAAACGTAAGATTACAGAAGATTCTACTTTATTGTCATTCAATAAGAATTCAATGAACCTAATACCCGCAGTATGTCGTCGTTCAGCTAAAGAAAATTGGACAAGTACATTAGCTACCAGAGTATAACTATGTGGAGAATAAGACATTTTTAATATGCAACTTGTAAAACGCAAAAAACCTAAGTTGCCTCACTCCAGCTACCTTGACCCTTGAGTCGTTATTTGAATTGGGATATCAGACAACACAACCACATTCAAGCACGAGAAAACATAAAAGTAGTGCACTCTACCGCAATGCGCTTAGGTGCTGAGCCCAAACTTATACCCGCGTTCTAGTTAAACGTTGATCGTTTAGATACCTGGTGGTCCCAATTCAATGCCACGACTGTTCTGGAGCATTTAGTTATGTTGGACAAATCGGACGAGTACTCGGAGGGATTACCCGGTGAATTATGTGTTATGATCAATCACATATTTTTTGGACCTCTCTAAAATTCCATTACTGAAATTTAGTGGTGATTTTCATATGTGGCCAATGTTTCTGGATAAGTTCACCGCTTTAGTCAATGTTTATCCGGGACTAATCAAACATCGACAAGCTTGGGCTGTCTTCATGGATCCGCGAAAAATCCGCTTCGGAAGAAAATTATAAGTTGACGTGTTCAAGGTTGTCCGCGAGTTTTTATCAACCTTGTGTAGTTGCTACATCGTTAATCGACAATTTGTTGAATAAGCCGTCGTCGTCTCAAGAGTCACTCAAATATTTAACTACGTTCTTCGCAACTTTCGATGAAATATTTCGCTACATTCTACGTTGGATATTCCTAACCTCTGGTCATTTATCTTGTTTTCACTGGATTTTTGTACTTTGCGCCTCGGCACTAGGAAATTGTTTTAGTCCTCTGGTTCGAACAATACCAATTATCTCTCTGTTAAAAATTTAATACAATTTGTTCATGATCGCATTATCATACTCTAAAATTTTGATGACTTGAGAAAGAACAACGCCCCATCGAAGTTGTTTTCGGCAACCGGGCCATCCGTCAAGCATCGGTCAGGAAAAAAATATCACGTGGCCCTAATTTCTGCCAAACCTGAGAGTAAAAATTTAGGAAATATCCCGGCGTCGTGCCCATGCTGTTCCAGTTCTCATAACCTTAGATATTGTTCAAAATTCTAGTCATAGTCATTAGACGAACAAAACCGATGGGCTCACAAACATTGCTTTCATTGTCTCAGCAGCGGTCGGCTCCGAGTCGGTCATTTGAAGACGGAATGCCAAAAGTGTTCGAAAAAGCACACCTCACATTTGTATGGAGTCTCTCGTCATAATGCCTACTTGAGATCGATCAGCTCACTTTTTAAGATTTCTGATTTTAATTCCCAATAGTTGACCTTAAATATTTTTGTAACTGTTTATAATGTTTGTATTATTTTCCGAACAATTAATGAAAACAATATACGTTTTTGAGCTGTAATAATTGCTTTTAACTGAAGCTTATATAATAATAATTAAAATATATAAAAATATAAATGTATTCATTCTTTGATACAATTAATACACGATAATAATATTTCAGTATCAATTTAAAGCCCCCTAAATGGACTAAAAAATTTGATATCCCAGGCAACACGGTACACTGAGGGACCCTCCCGTCCCTGCCTAAATACGTGCCTATTGCTGATAATATAACGTTTTCAGAACATAATAAATAATCTTACCTGATTTCCTTGGACTAATAGTGTTGTGGTATTGTGTGGAAGTATTTTCGGTAGCATTTTTAAGCCTCTATAACTGCAATCGACTGTTATCACTGGATGTAAGTTAAACGATGGGCCCCTACCACGCACTACGTTGTCCAGCGTACAGACACAATAGTCAGGAGGACTGCTAGGACACTCTTTTTCCAAATCCTGATGGAACACATACATTAATTTTTATATATTTAATATCCCCTTTTATATTTAATAAGTATTAAATCAAATATGATTATAAAATCTATTAAAACAAACATTTGTCGACTTTAGGATCCTAAGTACGGCTGAATTAAACATTTTTAATATAAAAATGTTATATGTATCTAAATATTTTCTCGTTAATATATAGAGGGTAATTCACCAATCATGCTAACCTTCATTTTTTCCTTTAATAATGAAATTATTCAAAGTCTGATTTTTGGAATTTTTAAATAAACTCAAAGACCATTTTTTAAGTGAAATTTCTGAGGCTCGGTAGCGTACGTCAGATTCGTGGGCTAAGCCGTTGCGACCAAAAAACATTACGGACGTGACTTACTCGAAACGAAGGGTCCAAACAGGAAACCGAATTTGGCCGGTCGGTCACCGCGTTCCTCCTAGTGCGGTAAATATGCAGGAGCCGGTGAACTGGGCTAACAGACCGGCAGGAAAAAAATGTCACTGTCTGTTTACCACAATCTATCTCTATATATTATAAAATCCGGTCGCCTATTTGGGCCCTAAAGTTTCTATGGTAATGAATAATACATTTTAAAACAAGAACCCGCCCCATTTGAGCATAATTTATTTACTAGATCATTTTTCTGAAAACTTTGATGTATAAGAATTAAAATTAAAACAAGTAGTTTTTTAGCTATTTAGCTTAAAATTAATATTAAAACTAAATAAGGATAATAAATTGGGTTTGGAAGGTATCGAGGCTATGGTGATTTAAAAATGTTAGTGTTTAATATTAATTCATCAACATTAATAATTTGTAAAAATGGTTCAAGTATAATAACTACATACTAGATTCAATATTACATCTGTTTTTACCTTTTTTAAACTAATTTTTATAACTAATATTCTTAAAATAAACATTTTAACTGAGAAACTACTCGTCCAAATTTTGAAATGGGTGTATAAAAATTTTCAAAAAAAGTATCCACCAAATAATTTACAGAAAAAAAGGGGGTTCTCATTCGAAAAAAAACATATTACATACGAGTCTGCAATTGACAGGTTAGGTTAGGTTAGGTATGTCTGAATAACATTTTATGTCTTTGCTGTCCTTGCTATCATATGTAGTACATAACTAGATAATATTTATAGGGTAATTGATAAAAAATAAAGACACGACTGCTATTAGTATACAATTTTTTTAATTTATTATTATTTTATATTATATGTATAAATTTTTATTTTCAGTCTACGATTCGTTTTATTTTTTTGTTTCCATGGCAATTTTTTTCGTAACGCTTTATGTAACGTAACGTTTTTTGATTCTATGTGCCAAAGCAAAGACATAAAATGTCAAAACAGAAGATTGTATCGCCACATAACACTCGATGATGAGTGGTACAAAAAAATTGGGTGAGCATGCTTGATAACGGTGAATTAACATCTATATTACATGAGACAAGAGATTTTAAAAAAGTAATACCATTTTTAAGAACAGTAAAATAGCGAGCTTTAAATTGTATTTATAAAAAAAATTGTAATTTATATCACTGAAAAATTTGAAATGACACGCCTTGGTTATCTCACCCTTATATAAACCTTTCTTTTAACAATTGCAAATAAAAAAATATGACAACAATAAAACATAATAAGAAAATAATAAATCTATAAACTGTAAAATTGAATTGTTATTGAGTTCTGTATAGTACCTATCAAATAAAAGTGTAAAATATAATAAACATACACTTAATAGCCGCAATACGGGGATCACAGGTTTTCCAATGTATTTATATCCGCCACAAGTCATGCGGTTGAAATCCATCACTTTGAATGTCAGCGAATCTTTTGATACATGGAGTAACCAATACAAATCGTTTTTACAAAACCAAAAATCTCCTAAAAGATATGGTAGTTTAAATTATCTTAGAACTGCCGATAAGACCATGCAAGTATTCAACACATATAAATATATATAATTAACTCATTACTCACCAGCTAACCAAATTTGTTTCAATTTCGGTAAATATTCCATTGAAGGGGAGTATAAGTGGTTGAATTTATTGTAACTCAAATCCAAAACCTCCAAAGACGACAAATACTTAAATGCACTATACTTAACACGCTCCAAATTCAAATGGGATAAATTTAAAGTCTACAATTAATGTATAAAAATAATGCTGCATTAATTATTATTTCGTTGTAAAATATTTTACAAATATATACTTTTATACTTTAATCGTTACTAGTTTTACATACTATACAAAATAAATTTAATACTTAATGAAAGCCCATTGCGGTAAGCTCTCCATAATGATACATGCATGTATCATATTAATAATGTCATGCACTCGTTATTTTCATTAGGTACTAAAACCCAATTAATATAATATATAACACTATATAGATATAAATAAAAACCAACAAATTACCGGAAGGTTTGTTTTGTTTATTGGTTTATTTGATAATTTAACTTCATGACATTACATTTACATTTACATTTACTAGTTGATATCTACCTACTTTCTATAACCAATAGGCATATTAATAGATCCCTATATTAATTATTATGTGGTGTGTGTGTGTGTGTGTGTGTGTAAATTCATAAGTTAACAATTAATTTAAACACCCATAATATGTATAATTTAACATATATATAAATATCTTATATTGTGTATAATGTATTGCAAAATATAACATTATTGTTGTATACACCTATACTAAAACGAACAAAATAAGTTACTCATTAACTACATTAGGTACCATATAACCCACAAACCTTATCTATTTGTATACGAACAAAAAATACACTTTGATGTATAATCAGTATATTATATGAGATAAAATGAATTTTAAAAATAAAATATTTAATCTACTTCAAAATAATTAATGAGATAAGAGAACAAGTCCTTACAATTTATACATACAAATATTATAAGGCAAATACAAATATACAATTATAAAAGCACTGATTCAAAAGAAAATAAAATTATAAATAAATGTATTATAGCATTAGGTCAAATTCTATACCTATTGTATTCGAAAAAACCACGATGGGAATCAGATAATTATTTATTTTTAAAAAAAGAAGAATCTCAGTTATTACGAATGATCATTATTCATTAGAAGTATAGAATTTACCTATTTGACTTGAATTAAACTAAAAATATAAAATATTCAACGAAATTATGCAATTAACGTATTACACTCATTCCCTAAGTCAAGTTTTGTGATTCCAAAAAAACCCCAGCACTCAGAACGATCAAAAAATATTCAAAATCAAAATTTCTTTGTCATAGTAGGTATATTCAAGTATTTAAACCATCGATTTTATATAATCAAAATCAAATCTTGTCAAGTTGTATCAATCTTACTAGATCCAAACCAACCCAGACAAATACAATTTGAGTTCATATAGGTACTGTTAATGTCCAAAAAAATGTGCTAGGTAATTTTGATGAATTAAAATCGAAATAATATCTTGAAATAAACGTTTAAAAATAATGATAATAGGTACTAATAAAATATCAAGGTATAACTGGTATAAGCAATTTTTAATTGCGATAAGTTATGACGAGTTTAGAATTTGTTTTGAATCGTAAAGTAACTAACTAGGTAAGTACGTAAATTCCCAACCGTGTAGTAATTATGTTTCATTTTTCAACGCCATAAATTTCACTATTCGCTAGGTGGATCTCTTGGACAATAGAATTTTAAAACAGTCCTAATAAGGAAATCTAAAGTACATACCCAACTCAATGATACTAAACAGTGTTAACGACGTACAGCTTTACAAGACGACAAGAACTCGAGTCAACTGATGGGAAGAACAATGTTTTGTATTTACCCATTAATAAAATTTATACGAGCTTAAACGTCCCACCTTTTGTATTTTAATTTTTAAACGATCAATTTCTAACGAACGCATAATGTTTAGCAAAATATAAGACGGTTTATGTCCCCTGGTGAACTCCCTGAATATTATAAAAGTTGTCCGTTGTACAAAACTTTTTTATTTTTCACAAAGACGAATCGTCCCAAGTAGGTATGTTTTCAGATATTCTGTCGACTAAGACTCTTTCCAAATTTCCAATCACACATATTTAAAAAAAAAAATTCATGCGCTATAAACGCAATATCAAACACAATACTAACTATTCATCTCCGTCAATTTATAATATTTTATTTTTAAAGAAAAATGTTGCGTTAAATTATGGTACAATTTTGAAAAACACTATCAAACAATGATTTTTAATTCAATTCTATTAAAAATTATTATCATATGGTTTTAAGAAGGTTTTGATGTTTACCGGATACATCTACATATTTAACCCGTAAGTATATTTTGAAGTGATTACATTTTTCGAACAAAAATGAACTCAAGATGCTCGTTATTTCACTATGCGTAAACAACCTACCTTTGGGTATATAACGTACATTTTAATACATTATCTCTTTCTGCATATCCATTACATAATTTATTGCAAAAACCAAACAGAATAAAGAAATATGACCAACCCATAGGAATATTGGAGGAAAAACGAATGGTTATAAGAAAAAAGTGACTGGCATAGTTACTTATCTAATAGTCTATGATTCGACCTTTTGACCAAGTGTCCAGATAACCATGGTACAAAAAAAAGTTTCTAAAACCCATAAGCTCGATTTGTATTTACACTGCCCCCTATAGCACATACACATAATAATATATGCCATACACATCACAAGCCATACAATTTTTTTTTTTATACAATCTATACGTAGGTACCTACAACTTACAATGATACAGTAGGTAACGGCCAACATGAACATGAAAATTAAAACTGATAATTAAATATTAAAAATATTTATACATTTTTTCAATCACTCTGGATATTCTCAATCAATCAATGGTTTTAAATAAAAATAAACAAATAAATATTTCTTGATTTAATAATTTAGCTGAGCAAACAATTGTAATTATTTGAAAAAAAAACTGAAAATTGCACACAATCACTATATTATTATGTGTAACACAGATAATAATTTTAAAAACTAATTAACTTCTTTTAAACTGAGCTAAATATATGTTTGTCTTCTTAAGACAAATACTATTTATCAAGTTGGCATTACTACGTTGGCTACGTTTAAACTAACTCGAGTTTATTATTCTATTTATTTGTAATACAATATAGGTTGTTTATTATTATATTGCATTATATTTTAATCATTATTGCTATTCCCTGTACGCCATGAAGTAGTCAGCGAATTAGAAACGTTTAAAAAACTATTAAAAACTATTTTTTTCGTTGGTGCGAACGATAGGCATGGACCAAGTACACATATAGGTAGGTACACTAAATATAATTATATAAGACCATGAGTTATAGGATTCTGATTCTACGAATTAGGATTCGGATTAAGATTAACAATAAATTGCAAATTTGCAATATTTTTCCTATGGAGCACAATAGGACAACAATATATTGGGTATACCACTATGGTAACCCTTTAGGATCACTACTAAATTACCTATGCCACAGTAAACCATAACATATTATTTCACATAATTTGACACCTTGTATACTACCTATAAAGTATTATGTTTCGTCTGATAATGAGATGTAAAGAGGAAACTGAGCTATTTTTTTTTTTAAAAAGCGCAATATCGGTGTATTTTCTATATTCTTCAATAATATTAACATACAGAAGTCGAAGATAAGAAAAAAAGTGTTTTTACTACCTACGAAACTATATGTTAAAATGGTCTACAGAATTCATCTCATTAAAATATGTTTTTTCGTTCAGCTCAGTTCTAAAAGTTGATATATTAGGTATATAGAGAAGATATATACCGACGTCAGTTTTGTGATGAATTATAATGTTAAATAACTTTTTACACGATGGTATTAACATAAATTATACAAACTAACTTTAATTACTTTACAGACATACTATTGTTATACACAGACGTATATACCTATATATTGGCATTCGTTTGACAGGTGACCTACCCACCTTTCTTTAAGTTTAAGGGTGATCAACCAGACCATAATACGATTTAGTAATTTATAGTAAATAACCTAACTATTTTTGTTTATAGATAATAATGTCGACTACGGGCGGCTACCTTCGAAGACTTTTCGATGTTATAATGTTTTTTTTTGTAATTTTCTTTTTAACAAAGTACAATTTTTTTCTAAATATGGTCTTTGGAGGGGACCACGGTCAACTAGCCCCCCTCTTCCCTCGATCCGCCACTGATGTTAATACGTAAGTTAAATTTAAAATATGAAGTATAACTAAATATCAATATTCATTCGACACGTGATGTATTCCTAAAACGGCCAATTATTCTTTAAAAAATTGTAGACATTAAAACTTAATCTAGGTATAACACGAACTATGTATTAAACGTACATGGTCAGTATTCAAAATGAAAATGTGGAGAAGAATGCAAAATATACAAATTTGGAAGTGTTTCCTTTGCTACTTAATTGGTAATTTCATTGAAGCCTGTTATAAGTTAATAAAAGAAAAACAATATTTTACATTTTATCGTTATAACCTAATTTATTGTAATCATAATTTAATTTAATTAATTTTTGATTAATAATAGTTTTCTTGTACATTTTATAATGAGGAATTAAAATAGCAAATGCGTTTAGTTCCCCACTAAATATTAGTAAATAAGTAGGTATTTAGTTACAAATCAGCTACTAAACGAATATCTATGTAGGTACCTATTAATATTTATATGCACTATACATAAGCATGTTTGAGTGGCGACTGACAATAATACTTATTATACATAACAATAAAGTTAAACATATATATGTTTAGACCAAGGTTCCGAAATAGTTACCTTTAAATTTTGCAAGAACTCCGGAAATTCACCAATAATTTCTTTGATTTTGCTTTTGGTTATCGTCAACTTCACGAGTTTTGGGTAAGGACGCAACGACATGGCTGGGTCGAATTTGTCCAACGGCCAATGACAGAGCGTCAGCGTTTGAAATAAAAAATAACTAACAAACAGTTATTTCGAACAATAATTATATAGCCTCCATAATATATACTTTGCATCAATTTTTAAGTGCTTATATGCAGTGATGGACAGTATTTCAATTAAAAGTAAATAATTATTTAATTAAATATTAATAACTTATAAATTATTTTTTAATTTAGATCATTGTTTCAAAAAAATTAAACTTTTTTGAAAATATTCTTTCTTGATAATTTCATGTTATTTCAAAACAACATTTCTGAATAAAAAATTATATTTTTTACTATTTTTATCGTTATTTTTTTTTATTTATTGTTTTTTTGAATGACACCATATATTTTTTACTTCATATTCCGAAGCAGAATATTATTTGGAGTATTTCATAGCATAAAAATCAAATTTCGGAGATGACTTCATAAGCTACAAGTATTTAATTTCTTAGATTAGCGGTGCAGTGGACAACATTTTGCGGGATTCACCCTGTATCAATTTACTCTGCCCATCTAATCTTTGAATGCTTATCACTTTAACTTATAAAGAGCAATGCATTACAAAGCACAAAATTCCTTTCGCCTTTCAAAGAATTAAAATAATGAACATTTATTCTGCATATTTGTACATTTTATTAACTTTTTTGATTAGTTCATTTCATTTATATTTTAAAGACATTTTTCACTCATTATTGACACATCTGTAAATTTAGATCAAATTGTTTCCCCAAACTGTGTAATTTACGTTTCACGGAGCCGGCAGTCACAGTGAAGAAAGGTCAATTACAAAGAATTGTACAGTTATAGATTAACCTTTTTGTAAACAAATAATAATAACTAATAATAACTTATAAATTATACAGATAGTTGCAATAATATTATAATACAAACTTATACAATTTTTTACTTGTCTTGGAAAATTTTTTCGAATAGTCATTTCTTCAGTGCATTAAGTAGTATTATAAAAGCGCAGTTTATAACGTTTTTCAAATACTTATAAATATGTACTTATCTTAAAATTGAACTCAATATTTTCAAAATGTTGTGAACATTTGAACTTTAAACGATGTAAAAAAAAACCCATGAGAATGTATTTTTAAATATTTGTAATTGCACTAAGAACAACTTGTGAAGAACTTTGACACGAGAAAACAATAAAAAATGAACATCGTCACATTCATTGAATAGAACTAATGCATTCATATGGTTCCTCTCATAGTTTAAAAGTATCTTGTACTCATCTCGCAAATTCGTATAGTGTATTTTGTATTTTAAATACGTGAAGAGGTAAGTTTTGCCCATCCCTGCCTGTAGGTAATATTAATTTAAACAACATCAATCAAAATGTCATCCAAAAAATCTCGTAAGTGACTCATATCTCGAAAGGTTTGACGCTATAATATTTTAGGTGCATGCGAATAATCGCCAGCGACTTACTCACTCTTCGGCCGAGTAATCCTCGCGGAAACCGCCACTGCAAGTCACTCGATACCCGTCCGTCTTGTTGACGCTCATGCATTTGTTCTGTGGCGTCGGAGACGAGCACAACTCGCCGAATTTCGTACCCGCTGAAACGACTTGGTGCAACGACAGTTGTACCACGGTGGACCTGAAATAAATTCCGAAAAATTACGGCCACCCGTGCCATATTGCTGACTGGTGTCGTCGAAAAATCTCACGTCAAAACAGCTAAGTATAACGCGTCCATTTTCCTAAAAGACGTTCCCGCTCGAAGTGCCTATACTACTATGGACGTCTAACTAGTCACCCCCCCCCCTTCATGAAGCAAATGCGACAACCACGAGATAACAAGGAACAGATTTATGACTCAGTAAACATGAACAGTAAGTATAATATTGTTTTAACAAACGATAATATTTATTGCTCGATTGCTCCAAAAAGTTATGGTATACAAGTTTTAGAATATTATATAGACATAGTAGGTATCTCTATCTACTTGTATTATTGTATCAATAAGATTTCAAAGCCCATCACGATATCACCAACGTGTTTTGTTTGTAAACCTACTTAAAAAAATATATAATATTAACAACTTTGCCCAAATATTAGTGTAAATAGTATAAGTGATACATTGACATAAAAAATCAACATAACTTGTCTAGGTTAAAAACAAAAAAAAAATGAGAGTGAACAAGTAAAAAAAAATTGTTTTGAGAATAAGTCTCAGAACATCGTATTTAGTTAAAACATACAAAACAACACAATCGTATTAGGTAATAAAAAATAAAATAATTAAAACTACGAATTTTGACAATACTGAAGTGTTCTTCGTTCATGTAACATAATACAAGTGTGTGAGTATATAATATTATAGTTAAATCGGTGGAAATGATAAAACATTTTACACAGCACAAAATTTACTGGTACCTGCAATATGCATAGTATATTAATATATAGAACAGATAGGTACAACATTAGGAAATTATTATAATAGTGATACTATTTTAAATACAAAATAAATCGTGTTCGATACGCGTACAATAACTAAATATAATAACTGTTATGTTGAATTGTATTGAGGGGTATCAGTGTATTTAATTAAAAAGTAGTTATAATAGGTATAAGCATTATTTAGAAACTAAATATCATATAATAATGATAATTGTTATTTTCATCTACTCTCTAGGTGATTAAAAATGACGATTTTTTTTTTATCCCTCATATCGGTAGGTACGCATTCAGGAGGCACTGAAAATTAACTTATACTGCACACGCTCGTAGCAATAATTGAAATCGATAGTTTGTGAACGAAATGCGATTCTCGTTTGAAGACAATTGTAAAGCATATTATCATTTCGATCGTAATTGCATTATGCTCTACCGAACAATACAAAGCGGCAGCAGTGTATAAGTATATTGAGTCAACGAGAAAACCCGTTCCGACGTATTAATACTGTTGGTGCGTATTAAATCGATATATATGAAGGTGAGGTTCAATGAAAATAAATAAATATACGTTCTATTCAGAGAATTGATGCTGTTAACCATCATGTAATCAATGATTTCTATCAAAAATTTGTTCAAAAAATATTGTTAAACACTGCATATGTAATACAACGAATAATGAATTTTAAAAAAAAATCTAAAACTACTGGAAAAAATAAAGAGAAATGGCTTAGACGAAATATATATGATAGATAAATATTTTGTAAGCAGAGTAATGTTTATAAGAAAATATTATTATAAACATATCTATTATAATATATATACGATTAGCGAAAAGTTGGAATACGTGTCGTTAAAGAAATGAATTTTAATTATAATAATATATGAAATAAGATACGTATGTTAAAGCTCGTCCGAAAGTGAAAGTCGCATGATGGAAAAGGAGGAGAAAAAAATTTGCGTGTTGAAGTCCAATGTTTAGGTATTGTTACGTAATCGGATAAGACAGGTGTCGAAGTCATCACCAGGAAAACCATGAGGTATTGTTTTGACCAGACGACGACGACGAAGACGAAGGAGAGAACAAATTGGTCAATGGTAAAAAAGATTTAGGAGACTTAAGTCCCCCGCCGCCACCTTCGCCATCAAATTCCGCTGGTTTTTCGCTGGCCTCGGTGTCCGACACACACGCGTTCACTTTGGTGTTGGTCTTACGTTGCATTTCACACTCGTAAGTGCGCACGTCTGCGATCGTCATCGATATCCAATCGTCGATCCACGCGAAGGCCTGGCGGTGACCGAGCAACAAGATCTCACGAATTGTCTGCGAAAAATACAAGTCGTTACTTAGGATTTTTATTTTAATTGATATTTTTTTGTTCTGCAAGAAATATTTACCTAACGATGTTTATTTGTGTAATTATTGTATTACTTACAAACAAAAATCGTGAAAACGTGTATGGACACACCCTTCACTCAAGCATAACATGTCTAGTTTTTCCAACTTAACTTTTACTTTTAAAGTAATAAATTTAAAAGTTCATATAATTTGAATTTTGAACTGTGCATATGCTTAAATATTTTGTATTTTTTAGAGTTACAACTGAATGGGCGTAGCTGTAGCATACCCTAATTAACAAAGGGGACTTAAGTCCTTAACTATCTTTATTAAACTATGCTAAACTTGAATGTATTGAATTACAATATATACTTCTATAAAAAGTTCAAATTTATATAGTCAATCAATAAATATGCAATGTATATTTATTGAATTATGACTGAGAAGTGAGTACCTACATTAAAAAAAAAAAACAATTTTAAAAGTTATATTTTATTATTACATTTTAACTCTGACCTAATATTTCAAATAAAAAACATTTTATTTTAATGTATCTACTATAATAACTCTCGTGATAAGTGCAAGTCAATCCTACGTTTACTTGTACTGAATATACTTAAAATATTTTCAATTTTTATTTCTGACGATAAATCTCGTTCAATCTGTAGAATAGACAGGTTTGAAAACCATCATTTGTTATTATACTTCTGATCTAATGATTATTGGACGATCAGCTGCTGGATTGTTAGGTTAGATACAACTAACCAAAACATCTAATTTTGGCTTTGAAATATTTAGGATTTTTAAATTTAAATAGCTTGAATTTTAAGCAGTTTTCACAAAATTATTATTAAATAAGTTAACTGGCGTTCGTGGCGATCAAATGATTTCGTCATGATGGATATGAGGACATGAGTCATAGGAACTGATTTTTTTACATGCACTATTTAATCATTAAAAGTATAAATTATAATTTATATTATTATAAATATTGAAAAAAGGCCATTTCTTGGTTGGGAACCTCAGCAGCCTAGTATAGATATAAACTTGTTTAAGGATTACCTTACATTACATCTATAATACATCTATGTATCGTGTTGTACTATACTATTGAAAAAATATTGTATAAATAGAATAATCAGTTTTATAATAAATTCAATACTGTTACAACAATAATACAACAATCATATAATATTATACATTTTTAGTACCTATTATTTGTGTTCCAATTTTTCAATAAATTATACACATAAAGGAGACAAACATTACCAGATTCACTGGAATATTGTTGTCGTTCGTTTATACCTATATTCGAGTTTAAAACGGAGTACATACTACAATTTATCATTTACGAAGTGGCCATTTGGGATTTGAAATAACGAAGATTTTCTGTGGACCAACCCCCCCCCCCCTCGATATGTAATACGCACTAATACCAATATCCGGAATGGGTCCCGATGGTAGATATCAATTAATCAAGCATAATTACATGGTACTTATATAGGTATTATAAGTACCACATAATTATACCTAAACGTTAAGTTATTAGTGCACCTATCGACAATAATTATAAATTATTTACAAATATCTCAAGTCTTAACATTTCACTAAAATAGAAATAAAAACATTTTTTTTATTATTCGGTAGGTAGGTACAGTACATAGCATAGGCATGCCCACGGGGTATGCAGGGTATGCCGCTGCATAGTCTGCTGCCTCATATGAGGGGCCCATTTTTAAAATAACAAAGCTCATAATATCTATAGGTAAGTAACATTTAAAAAAATGCATGATAAAAATAATTTTTTTTAGTAATCACAACTAGCGTAAAAATCCAAAATATATACGTACATCATTAAAGCTTGTTATCACAGTTTACAAGGTATGCAAGTATATTATTATACCAATTTTGCAACATGAAAACTATATATAGAATAATTATTATTGTTTTTATAGTTTGTAATCAAGTTTGATTTGACTGCCAGTACCGTGCTACTATAGTTCCCGACGAGCGACCACTTGGATTCTTAGTTGCAAATCCTACGTATCCACGTGTTCAAAACCAAAAGTACCTACCCTACCCCATAGTTACACACCTGCTAAAAAAAACACCCCACCCAATGGCCTATGTTGCCGCGGGTTAACTAATAAAAAAAAATACCACATAACTGTATGACACTTATATCAAAAGTAAACATATTTTATATTTACTTTTTGAATATATTCTTCAGCCTTGGACTGAATGCCCCACACCTCGAACGACGCCTCGACCACTTTGTACGAGCACATAATCGGTGAAGTTGTATTTTTCCAATTTTCCGGCAGAGGACCCCTCATGGTCTTCTTCGACTGGAAAAACTTCAGATCCTATAAACACACATACAACCATACCATCTCATCAAATATGCCCATAAGAATATCAGAATATTAGAATTACACATTTACAAGCTATAATGTAATATACATTATATTTTCACACTATTATTATTATAGGTACCTCTTCCTCTTTGTAATGTTTTGGACTGACTTCGTCATATGCGACGTCCACGAAATCCACAATCCTTTCTACTAGCTTCTCGCCGGTTAACCCGAGACACTATGAATTTTAAACAATAACAAAATTTCAAACATAGTAGGTACACGAAACGTGTGTAAGAATAATTAATATTTTATTATAACAACGAATAATTACGTTCTCTGTCGTTCCTGAGTTATCTTCGAATTTCGTGTGGATAGTAACGCTCAACTTCGGAATAAACGAGCACTATCAGAAGAAAAAATAATAAATATTAATTTACTCAAAAGTAGTGATTTTTGATAACGTAATATCTAATATTGTATTATAATAGTCAAAAATACTTACGGTATATTCTGAAAATTTGATTTTCGTGCACAGACATGAAACCAACCAAAAGAAACATATTATGTTATATTATATTAGTCTAAACATATTAAACTTGGTGTTGAAGTTAACTGTTAAGTAACTACAATACCGTATAGCTGTTATTTTCAGAACCTACGTATCCATGCAAATGTTACTTATACAAATTTCCTTGTATTAAATATTTCGTCATATTTTAGTAATATATAACCCAGTCGAATGTAAAATACAACAAATTAATGTATATTGTCGTTACCTAAATAGCAATTACCTATAACCTATATAGTATTGTACACTACCTACTCTATGTCTCTATATATGGTAATATCGTTACTCTTTAGTTTTCCAAACTTTCTACATCTACAATGTATGATACATGGAACTCTATAGTACCTATACTATTCGTACTGCGTAGATAATAGGTATATTATTACAAAACTGATAGGAAGTTCATTATACACGTATGTACCTATTTACACCAATATCAATAATTTATTCAAAATCTTAGGATTTTTTTCCTATTGACATATTACATATTTTTACCTTAATTTACATAACTGATTATTTATTTTTTGGGTAATTTTTGTAACAAGTCCATATTATAAAAAAATCAACTAATAGTATTTACCTATGTATTATTTTAAGACGATAATTTAGAATTTAAAGAGTATAATGACTTAATATAACTTACTGCACCGTGCCTACTGGATTTACTTACCTACTTCAAGAATCTAATTCAATTATAAACTTTATAATGTATTTACTATAATATAGGTAACAACGAATTTATTTAATACATATTATTTTAATCAATATTACCTGTGATCGTGAAAGGATAATAGTTCCACGATTTTTCAATTATATAAAATAGTTTTGGAATGATCGCTTGAACCCAATATGGTAAACGACTGAAAAAAATATTTAACAGTTTTAATTTTAAAATATATATATTCTCAGCGCTTAAACTTACAAAAATAAACAATGGTACCTACTACCTTCCTAATCAGTAAACACGTGATCAAGTTCAAAATATATTATGATTTAGTGTTTATAAGTTAATAACGACTTCATCATTATAGTTAATCAGTATTAAAACGGTATTGATTTAAAAGTAATATATTGATATATATCATGGATTAAAACATTAGAAACTAAATACATACTAATGGTAAAAATTTGTATAATATTATCGGATAAGAATTTTCAAAAAGTATTTTTCCAATGTTTTCCAATTAATAATTATTATAATAATTTATATTACAATTTATAACTGTATACCTAAGGTACTATGCAATATTGCAGGTACATATAACTTTATAAAATCAAAACTGTTAGACAAAACCTACAGCGCATCCGTAAGACATTAAAGTCTGTGTGTAATGTAATGGACAAAAATAAGATTACTTTGACAAATGTATCCTTTTTTCGGTAAATTGCCCTTTTCCGTGGACGGGATCTTCGCAGGGAGCATTGATTATGGTTTCTACGCCCTCTCCGTTTTCCGTCTGTTCGTAGCTGTGCCTCGCAATCATGTAAAGTTGGCCAACATGATACTAGAAAAAAATGTTTTTTAAGCCTTTAGTTTAAAACTGTCTTACATATTATTATTTATAAGCAATACGTTAGTTAATTTTAGTACATAAATAATGATTGTAAATGTAGAGCAAACCGGACATAATGTAGGTATTTGTTACCTTTTACATTTATAGTTGTAACTACCTGGTACCTACCTAGCGAATTAGTGGCCAAAAAATTCTAGTTCCTAAGCGTGATTCGTATTTACCGTTTGCAATCGTTCATGGTCTTAATCGTACACAAAAACCCTTTCAAATCCTTATATTATAAAAATTAAAAAACACACTCCGTAGACCCACAACACTGTGAATGTGACAATAGTCAGAGTTTTATCAATCCACCCAAAAACATCAGATCGTTAAACATTTTGTTTGCAAACTCGAATGAATAGAAATCAACATAAAAAAACAAAAACAGTAGTTAGAACCAATATGCAACACCTAATATTAAACATTTATCAAACTATATAGGTACTTATACCTTATCGTAATCGCCGCTTCGTTGAGTTCTATTGTAATTCTATCTTGTTTTCTAATGACAGGGGTGTGAGTGGAATATTTATACGTTAGATATACTTAGATATTATTTACAGAATGTCTCATCAGCCAATTTCAGATAGTAAGAATTTATCAGATCTGATAAATTATTTTATTTTATTAAGGAGGTTGGCAAACGTCTAAAAAGATCCACCCAAATACAAAACGTGGTGAGTGGTCTACGCAGTCCAACATATAATCACTAAATGCCAAAAATACGAAGACACGAAAAAAACACCATGTTTTACAACAAATTGGAGAAGCACAAGGGACTAGGACCAGACCTACAATCAACCACCAACATCATACAATTTATAAAAGAAATACAATTATATAACTTAATGTAAGCTACGCAATACCACAATGTAATTATTAACACAGCACTGTTAACTAATTTCAACTTCATGTCAAACTAACTAAAAACTACCGATTTTTTATGTTAAGATTTTATCTAAAAATATTTGCTTAAATACTAACATCAAACAAAAAAGGAGCTTAATAATTACCTATAATAAATTAAAACAATTCAAATTAATTATTTGAAAAAAATTAGGTACCTCTCAATATAAATTAAATAGGTGCAATAGATAGGTGCATAACTAACGGTTTCTAATGATTTTACACATTTCTTGGGCTTAGTTGCTTAGATGATATTTCAATGATTCACTTTTAATAACGGTTAGCAAAAAGGTATATTGGGTATAACATATATGTGAACATATATATGTTATACATATGTGAATATATATATGAACCCTCCCCCCCCGCCCCCTCCCTGGCTGCGGCCTTGCTTTCCTACTTTATAGGAAAAGCCTATAATTCGGTATTGGCTGTAATATTGTAATGGGTGAAACGGCTTATTCAGTTTTGTTGACGATTAAAATTGAGAAAAAAATATAAAAGTCAAATATTTTTTTAGTTTGACAAAATACCATTTTGTTTTATTGATAATTTATCACGAAAATATATTACACCAAAAAATCTACTTAAAAATACAAAATATATTAATCAATGATTGGCAACAAAACAGTAAATACCTACTTTTCAATAAATCTAAATTAACATTGAATAATGTGTAGGTACATAATATGAAAATCCCATCTAAAACAAATAACTTTATAATACAGTAGTCTACATAGGTACCTAACCAATTGCGAACTTATTGGGCACAATATACAATTATAAAGTACCTAACTACGTATTGATATTCTGTATAAAATATAGAAGACTTACAATGATTATAGGTTGTATGTTCAGTGTTTATATACTAACTACTAGTACATAAATGATAAATGATACCTACCTGTCCTATCTAAATTTTTAGTAAATTACTACCCATATTTTATTCCATAGCTTCAACCAGTTTCTTGACCCATATTACATAGGTGGGTACTAGTACCCATCAATAAGTTAATAAAATAATTAAATTAACTTCGAATTTTCACGAGTAGGTTTAAAACTTACTTACCCACTTCTTTTTAGTCGTTTAATCGTCAATTTATACCATACATAGAAAAGGTAGGTTTAGAAGTAGCATAAGAACTCGAATTACATAAATACCGACAATAAACTGTAATTAATTTATAATCAATAATATAACAGGAATTATACATTTGTGGTAAAACTATACTCAACAAAGTCAAACCATGGTTGCAATTACATATTTTACTCAGGGCCGCATTTAGTGGGGTGCAATGGGTGTGATTGCACCGGGTGACCTTAGTACTGCATCTAGTAACTTAGGCCTTGGAGCATTTGATGTTAAATTGACGAGTGTTCTATTTTTGATATTATTATATTTGAATTCTGGTTCTAGAATCTCATTATTATTTAGCTCAGATAGATTAAATAAAACTTAGTTGCTATTATACGGATATCCTCCTTATTATCATTCTTATAAATTATTAAAGTTAGAAAATAGCTGCTGCCACTAATAAAGAAGAAGGTAATTTAATTCAACATAAAGACATTTTAACGTGTTTAATATGTATGTACGTTCGTTAAAATAGGTATATTATTTGGTCGTACATTTGTAAATTTGTTTAATAATAAATTAATAAACATAAAATATGTGTTAACTGTTCTGATAGACCATGTCTTATTAATTTTTTATAAGTTTTGACGAAAAAAAATTGTAAAATTAGTTGCTAAAAATATACAAATTAGTTCATTCACTAGAGATACTAGAATTAATTATAATAATATAATTACCTACAGTTGAACGAATATAATTTAATTTCTGTTTAAATTAATGAAAAGAAAAAAATTACAATTTACAATCCATGTCTTGGCATTTACTCTAATAAGATGCCTATATCTATTACAAAAAACGGATTTAAAAAATCAAGACATACATATTAAATGTTACCTACCTACTAAATTGAATTCGTAACTCGCGGGACACTCTAAAGTTGCTGTAAGTTGTTTGTTAAAAAAAGTTTCATTAAAAGAAAATATAATGTATACAATACTTTTTATAGGTCAATGCATAAACACTTAAGAACCTGGAATTTTTTTGTAGAAGGCAAAAAATGTATAAAATATGCATAACCCTGCATGATGTGCTTGCGTATCTTATATTTATATATCCCATGTCAGTACAAACTATAACGCTATACTAAACACACGGTCGCTGTTAATATTATAATGTACATTTTCCGATCATAAAAATCAACGAATTTTTGGCAACAGTATCAAATATTATAATTTATGAACAAGCTGAACTTTAACCTAAATAATACCTAAACAAAGAACAAAAAGATAAATATCAATACCTTATATTATAATGATTAATGAATGAGATTTTAATGTTTTTACTACTGTTTGTGTTACATTTCAATAGAATTTCGGTGACTCGTAAGATCGAGGCTTATATAAGCCAGGGGGGCCACGCTGCTCTAAGCCTAAATAATGTATATTACTCTTCTATGTTATCCCAAGACAGAGAGGAGCTATGCATATTTTCGTAGAATTATAGGAATCCGTTAGAATTAGACATTGATAGATGGATGCTTTTTTTTAGAAAAAGTAATGCAACCGTTATAATAAGATTGTATTTGACGGTATTTAAACACAACAATTATAATACACATAATATGCATGTATATTATATTATATACATTATTTATACATACCACATGCATGTTTATCTTATCTGTTGTCAACGACCAGATTTAATCTAAACGACAAAAATTATTGATAATTTAGTTTCAGTCTACTCTCTTGGCTCTTTTCGTCCCACATTATTTGAGATTATGTTTCGTTTTTAATCTAATGACTTCAAATATTTTATTATTACTTGTTTCTACAATCATTGTTAAGGCATAACGTTACACAATAGCAATAGTATCATGCATACTATTGTTGAACGGCGTAATTGTAAAATAATGCGTAGGCATACTTATTAACATTGGTAATTTCAATAAATATGTAAAATACAATTTTGTCATATTGTTATTCTTGTTGATAAAACTCGGCATTTATTCATGACATTAGGTACTGCCATATTAAAGGCGTACTACGCATAGGTACCCACACAATACTTTACTTATTATTATTGAATCACTTATAAAATGAATTATGAATGTACATTTTTAACTCTGTAGGTAGGTAAGCAATAATTTTTACTCGAATTTTTACTTTTACATAACCAATTACCTAAGTTTAAATAGATTAATAAATTATACATTTAAGGTAGCATTTTATAGTACATTTCTAAGAAACGTCTTTAGGTACTCATATAGTAATTTGTAATTTAATTTGGCCATTTGACAGTATGGCTACTAACACACAATATTATATTTATTTCTTATAGAAATAACACAAAAAAAGTAAACTGCATAGGTAATATTTAAAAATAATTTATTCGTGTTTTTAATAATTCCAAAAATATATATATATATATATATATCATAAAGATAATTCCTAAATAATTTCTTAAGTAATGAAAAACTAAAAACTATAACTAGGTAGGTACAACAAATTCACGGTATTTACTTCAATTTTGGTGGCTATAACATAGATTAGAAAATATGAGTTATGTCCTTACATACAAAATATCTAAAACGTAAAACTACAGGGGAAAAACGCAATAAGTCAATTTTATTTCTAATGTCGCCTTTCAGTCTTAAAATATTATTCTCCTAATTAAAGTGGAAGTGATATAAAATAAAATATGATAGTAACAATAAAAATATTACAGTTAAATACGACAAAACTTTTATAATTAGATTGTACATTGTACAATCAATTCTCGAGATAATTTTAAACATTTAAAATTGTGTAGCTAAAAATTGATTTATAAGTACGCTGTTCCTCTGTAGTCTTCACATATTGAATATTACATTAATAATATTAATTGTGTAATAATTAACTGTTAATAGCTTGAAATATGGAATATAAAAATATTAGGTACGTATAAAAAAAATGCAATTTACCAAGGCATCCACAATACACAATTACGATTCAGGAAAAAAGTTTGTTCTCTAAAAACATTAGTAATAAAGGCGAGCTCCTGAGTGTTGTCTTCCCTCTAAAATTTTAAATTTCACAAATAGTGTACCTATATACAACCTGCGACCAAGGTTATTAAGACGAAACATATTAATTTTATTAACGAATATAGAGCCTATAGTCACATTAAACAAGCGCAGAACAATATTATAATGCTTTAATGATATTGCAGTACACTGCAGTAGTGCGGTAGTGTGTAGAAAATTAAGATATGCGTGCAGTTTCATAATTAATTCTTAGTTGTTATGAACTTTGTTATCGCTAACTCATAAGTCACACTACATAACAATAATGTTATGCACACAAGTATAAATCCTAATATTAGGCGATAAAAAAGACAAACGCCTATATAAAGCTATAAACAGTTACGATCTGGTAGATATACCAAAGTAGTGCAAATGCGGCATTTTTCCCAAACAACATTTCATTGATGACAATAATAAATGGGTAATAATCACTCAAGACCAATACTTATATTATTGTACTAAGAGGAATAAAATAAAAATGTAGCTATTAAACATATAATTAATATTATAATAATATTGTAACGATAAATTATTAGCAGTATAATAACAAAACGCTTGTAGGTACAATAATAGTCTAAAATAAACTCAGCATACCTATACTAACTCGTCTGAAACGCAAATTCTAAGAAGTTGGGATTAAATTGTGTTATGTAATCTGGACGGTTTGATAGAACATTATAACTTAACCGGGAGAGTTGGCTATTTACAATAGTGTTGGATTTAGTTCAGCCTTTCGAAGATGTTTGAGCCTAGTGAAAATTTAACTCATATACTCGTAGCTATACGTTGAGTGTTACATGATTTGTTTTTCTGTCTATCCACTACGATCGACCAGTGATTTTGAGACATTCTTGTTGGTAGGCAAAACCGATAACAATCCCATAATTTGAAACATACCTAACAACCTTGGACGGTTATTGTCCTAACGGTCATCGAAGTGTAACCAATGGTGACATAATATAATATTATATGGTGGGAATCGTGCACACATACGAAAACGCCCTGACAATAATATTAAAAACCTATCACAAAAGATGGCATCAAATTTATTTACAGGCATAACATTTTCTTTTCTATGAAGATAATGCAAAATGTTTTATTATTAATTGGATCAATATGAACGGTTTAATAACTGCTTTCGGATAGAAAGAAAAAACTACTGATATTAAGACAATGTTGTATTGTTGATTACACATTTTTAACAATATGTTATAAATGTCAAAATATGTATAATCAGAATTCACAAATGATTTACATAGCAAAAAAAGTTCACGAACCGATATCAATTAGTAAAAATTTCAGATAAAATTGCATATCAAAAAGAAATAATAAAATAAACGAATTGGGAACCAGGACAAAAACACAAACTTAACTCGAAATTATTCAATGCTGTCATTAATTAAGTAAATACCGCTTATTATGTGTGTTTAAATTAACATAAATTCATTATATTATATCTCAAATTATCTCAAAAAATCTTACAATTAAACATAGGCAAAGATATGGGGGGAAATAAAGACTAATATTTTAAAATACCTAGAAAAATACTAACATTTGGACATACTTCAATCTTGGTTATTGTAATTTATTCCTTGGATTGTGGTTTATTTTTGTTAACAAAATAAACACATTTATTAACCAATTGAAAGTAGGTGATTAGGTCATAAATTATGGAGTTAACATTCATAAACAAAGGCAAAATACTTAAAAATATAAACAAAGAATAAAAACTTACCCATGATTAAATCTTTAATGTACCAGAAATAACAAATCGGGCTATTGAATGTTAAAAAAAAAACATCAATTGTTTCATATAAACCAAAATAATTCATGAAAATTAACATTTTTACCATACGTTCTTATATATTATACAAAATTGTATTTACATAATAAAATTACAACTACCCATATTTTTCTGTGATTAGAAAAAACATTTTATGAAAAATATAGTGTACAGTATTGATAGGCTAGGGATAGACTAAATGAAATAATCAGGCTTACGCAGAAAAAATAAAAAATTTACTATAAATAAAACAAATTAGCCATGAATTATTGAATCCATTAGAATAAAAATAATTATTTAGTCAATAACACTGGAAGCGTCCTCCACGCTATTCATATCAACATCTAGACTCTCAATTCCTTCTTCCCGAATCAGATTTTCCAATTGTTCCTTGGTATAATCGGGTGATTCTTCCATGTCATTACTGCTCTTATTGGATGAATCAATAATGCCTGCTTCCACAGCTAATTGAGTTAGCGCAGATTCTGTACTGGCCGGTAAATCAGAGGATAGTTTGACAGAGGACGGTACTTTGGAATTGATTGCAGTAGATCTAGGTGTACTGGGTGTATTCACAATATTGGTGTTCTTCAGCTGGACAACATTACCACCAGAATTTGAAGTTAAGATAGCCATATTATTTTGGCCACTAACCATTTGAAGGGTTACAGGCTTACCACCTATTGTCATACCAGTTAAATTTGATTTACCTAGAGTGACCATTTTACGATTACCGGTTCCAGCCATAGTAATTGTAATAGGTTTACTTCCTGTTGGTGTATTACCACCTGATGATACCATTACCATTTGAACAGGTGAGTTACTTACACTGGTGCGATTAGTCATATTAGCTTGGGAGGCTGAAAAAGTCTGTATACCCCTGAGATTCGAACCAGTCGTTACAATGATGATTTGTGGAGATGCTGATCGATTTGTGTTACCTTTTTGAATAACAATTGTTGGTTTATTGGCAGCAACTGGTAGTCTTGCTCCAACCGTTTTTAATGGTACCGTTTTCATTGTTTGGTTTGATTTGATAGGACTACTCTGTTGATTTATTGGAGGATTGATGAACTTTAGAACAGATGGTTGCATATTTTTATTTGGTGTAGTTGTTCCAATCATCTTTCCTGGAATACCTTGTATGAGATTACCTTGGCTGGTCTTAACTAAGGTAACAAAATTTGATTGTGAACCACCAGGTTTTTGGAAAATCACTTGCTTTCCAAAAACATTAGATCCAGTTTTAAGAACTGTACCAGCAACTGAAGTTTGTAAAGCTGGGCCGGTTATACGAACTGCTTGTTGTTGTTGTTGTGGCACTGTGGTGTTTACAGGTGACATGACATTTTTTATTGACCTTTGTGTTTGAACAATTTTAAATGGTGCACTGGAAGTCTTAATCACAGGTTTTGGAAGTTCTGATTGTTTAGAAACTACTACAGTGGTTTTGATCTTTTGGGTAGCCGATGCAGCAGCAGCAAGAGTATGCATGGCAGCATCTGATAACATGTCCATTGAAGGAGAACTGACAAATGCAGGTGTTTTTGGTGTTACAGGACTTACTGCCTTAAAATTTTGTGGTAACGATGGTGTAACATTAGTGCTTTGAACAGTTTTTATTTTCATGTTTCCAGATGCTTGAGCAATAACAGGAGTGAACTGTTGATCTTTTACTAAAGAAGAGGAGTTAACAGTGGAACCTTGGGGTATTATTTGTATAAGTTGATTTGGTTTGGCAGGACTACCAGCTTTAGTACTGGTAGCAGGTAATATTTGACAATCGTCATTATCAGTATTTTTCTTTGCCAATTCTGGTGTCAAAAATGGTAACAATGAGTAATCAATCATTGTTGGTGGAGCTGGAGCTGCAGTATCAGCTGGCTGATCATACTTTTGAATTTGTAAAATATAAGCATCTGCAGTCGGTACACTATTCCATACAATCTCTAGGGCATTAGTAGATGCACGAACCAATTGATTTTTAGCGCATTTTTGTGGTTTATCCACTTCCAAATACCATAAATCTTTACAACAAACCTGATTATTCCATGCTTTTCTATATCCATCTCGGCCAGACCACACATACATTCTTGTTTGTATATTAGCAGCACAATGACCCGCTCTAGCTCTAGGCATATTATCTTCATTCATATCCATGTTTAGTTCCTCCCATGTCATTGTTTCTAAATTAAGACAAGCTAATTGATTCGTACATTTCCATTCTTTTTCATGAATAGGTAACTTGACTTCTTCAACAAATGGAACCCAACCACCAAAAACAAACATTCTATTTTTTATTGTTACTGCTGTGTGCAAAGATCTTGGTAGAGGTTTAGGACCCAAAACTATAGGTCTATTCCATGACATGGTATCTATATCTAAGGTCCAAAGATCTCCTAGTCGACACCCACTCATACCACCATAAATTATAAGTTTACATTTCCCTCTCGAGTCAGTATAAGCTACTGCTGTGTGGGATTCTCGAGGAGGTGGAAAATCGCCTACTGTTTCTGGTATATCCCAGGCTAAGGCGTCTGGTGAAGATATATCTAATGTATATAGATCATTTAAATAACGTGGTATATTATTTTTCGGGTCATTGCTGTCATTAGCTAACCCTCCGAATAAGTAAACTTTATTACCTATCAATGTGAAACTATGACCAAGCCGTGGGCAAGGTGACATGTGATAAAGGGGAGGTCTAGGTTGAAGCTTACTCCAATGCCATCGACTTGCTTGAAGTTCATATAGTTCATTTGAATACTTTCCATATTCAACCATACCTCCAAAAATTAGTAGTCTAGTATTATCAACAACTAGACCATATGCAGCACACCCAGGCGGTATATCGCCAGAAGTCTGAGGTATAAACCATTGGTTATTAGCTGCATTGTAAACATGTAGTTCATCTACAATTCCCTCATTTCCACCGCCGAAAACAATTAAAAGATCTTTAATAGCAACTGCTCTGTGCCCGTGGCGAGGTCTTGGTTGAGGTCCAATAGGATCAAGAATTTTCTTCCATTTTAATACTGGAGTTGAAGGCACAACATCTAGTTTTAACTCCATTTTATCTGTACGTTCAGTGTTCAACAACATTATGTTCTTTTTATATTCTGCAATAAAAAAAAAATACCAAAAATATTAAAAACTAGCTAAAAATAGTATTAACATTATATCATATTCATATTTTTACTAGTTAATAAATCAAACTGAACTGGAAACTTTGGGGACACTAGATTTATTTTCTAAATAGTGAATATAAGTATAATATATTATACATAAAGCTCAATTAATCTAAATCAAAGTTTGTTTTTACTTACTTACCTTAATTTGTAGAAATAATGCAATTAATAGTTGAAAAATCATGAAAGCCACTTTTTTAATTTATCTTAAGAAAATAAAAAAAATCCCAAAGTTTCCATTCTATCAAAATTTAAAATAAGGGTAAGACATAATCAAAGAACAAAATAAAAATGTTAACATCATTGATAACAACAGCATAAATAAACAATTTGTACATATAATCAAACATTTAAATATAGTAAGTAGTAGGATTATAACTCAGATTATAATTTATTAAAATATATTAGAGAATATATTTCCATTGAGTTAACTTGTTCTTAATTAAAATGTGTACATAATTGTATACACAAAAGAAAATATATTAATAAGAATATAAAATTATTTGTAGGTACTATAATATTAAAAATCTACCCTAAGTTTATTTAACAATGATGAAATCTATAGTACAAAAATATTTTATCAAAATAAAAACATTTGTAATTTAGTTATTATTTATGTCTATGCTGAAACAAACACGCTACTTATTTGATATAAAGTATTTGCCTTACAAAATAAACATAGGTAAAGCCAACAATTTAAAAAAAAAGGTTTAGTCATAATAAGGAGCATGAGTAATAAACCTTAATAATTACATAAATAATTCTAAAATTACCAATTATTATTTAAGTTAATAACTTAACTATAACTGGTACATATTATGCCATACAACTTGGTTTAAAAAAATGATTTTATTGATGGTCAAAATATGTCAAAACATGAAGTTAAAGATGTATTATTCATTGACAAATATATCTAGTTCATAAAGAAAATTCTGTTTTTATTTTAAACCATTATCAGGTTCAATTTGAAATATGTTTTTCATTTATAATTTGTACACATTTATTGCAGGTACCTGTATGAGAAAATATTGAATTGAGTTTTTAAAATGCCTGCTTGATTTTAACAAACAAGGTACATATCTAATAATTTTCATCATTAGGTACAAAAATTCAGGTATTACCTACTGATATGATTTAAGACTTACCAACTGAATGTCAGTATATAATATCATTTAACCTTTTATATTTATTTAACCAATATAGCCTGCTAGTTTTGTTTATACATATGTAGTGAAATCGAAAGTTATTTTACTACCAAAACAATCAGCATTAAACTGGGTTAATGTGCCAGAAGAATAACTATTGAACATCTTAGATAAATACTAAAAATAACCACAATGCATTTATGTTCATGTAGATAAACTCAATTTATTTACTATATATGTGATGACTGATGACCTTATAAGGAAAGCTACCTAATAATGTTTAAATCCAGTTATCATATCTTACAGGTATGGATACACAGAAATGTCAAAACTATAGTACCTCTAGTATTAGAGTATCAGTTTATCCATTGAAATAAATAGTACCATAATGGTACAAATATGTCAAAATATTATCTTGGTGGTATTTTAGGAAGAAAATAATATAAGCTATATAAAATAATACATATAATTAAACTAATAAATTGAATAATACAGGTACCAGAAATTACCTAAGGTATTTTGTAGCAAGAATTTCTTTAGGTATCTACCTAAGCAATGTAGTTGTTTTACAAATCAAATTTAGTCAATAATAAAAAAAAGTATTTTTAATTAAGTTAAAAAAATTTCTTTTCTACAGTAAATGTAGTGGGTATACCTAGTACATATTTTTATTTATATAAGTACCTACTAGAAATGTTTACAACATTAATAAACATACAATCCTATTTTAAAATCATTCATAAAACTCAACATTTATTAAAGAACAAATAATAATAAGTACCTACCAATTAATTCTAAATTTAATTTGTATTATAAAATGAATACTACATTATCTATAAGTCTCCATTTGTATTCTTGTGATGACTTCCTTTTTTAATTTTTTTATTCAATAAGTAGGTAGTATCTTGGTAAGCAGTAAGTGCCCTCCAACCACTAACAATAAAATACACAATTACTGTGTATTTTTATTATGATTGCTACCATTTTATTTATTCAATAAGTCCCTTATTATATATAACCCTATTAGCTTTATAAATAATTAAAATATTCTAAGAATTAATTATGTATTTTCACGATCATATTTTTGACAGACAGAGCACCAAAACTTTTTCTCTCTAAAATTGTACAAATATGACAAGGTACCTAAATAGTTTATTGGAACAATTAATGTCCACTTCTTAACACCAACAACCAACATAAAAGGGTACTTACAACAAATAACAACACATTATCAAAAACAATTAAAACAAACCTTTAAGATCAATTGGTATACTCCAAAGGTACTTCATCAAAAATATATGAGTAAAAAAATCGAATTTGACCAATAACATCAATTTACCAGGAGTTGGCATAAAACATTATATCTTGGGTCCTTACGGTCCCTCATAGAGGGGAATTTCGGTCATTCATATCAATATGCATCAAATGAGCAAGTAACCGACGCAGTGTGGATACAACTTAAATATTACAAACACAATCCGTGCCCACATAGAATGCCTCTTTAGTAAAAACAGAACTGGAAGAGACACCCTGAAGCAGGACATCGAAACCGTCGCATAAAAGATTGGCAGCTTTGGCTGCCGGTCAATCACACCCGCCGAAAAAGGTGAACGAGGGCGGAAGAGGGGGTAAGGGGCGGTGTTTGGAAGAGGGGGGCACAGGGCATGATTTGGCAACGTTCGCGGGAAAAAAAATTCGCAAGTAGGAACACACAACAACATTGCTACGGAGACACAAAGCGACGATAAAAAGGAGGGCCCATAAGAAATTGTTGCTGAAACGAGTAAAAAATAAAAGGGGCCCACGGTTCCAGGGGGAGGCCCCCTACGGCGAGGGATACACGGTGAGTCCGAGACGAAATCACGTAGCAGGCCCTCGACGACCGTTGCGGCCACCGGTAGACGTACCGCCAAAATAATCAAATAAGCGAACGACTCGCGCCGCTGGTGGTGTACTCTGCTTACCTCGTCAACGGTCAGCGGCATGCAAATGCGATACTCCTTGATCAGGACCATGGCGCTGCTGGCGATCAGTGCGCGGCTCCCGGGGCGCTTAGGTTTGCGGGACTCGGGTTACGGCGGCGGCGACTAAGGCTGTGACGGACGTTGAGCTCTCGGAAGGCCGTTTCGGCGTCGATTGGACGATGGCTGGCTGGCTAGCTGGCTTATGGACTGGCCGAAGCACGACAAATTGGGAAGAAAAAAAAAAACAAAAATAACAAAAACAGCGAATAATCTCGGATCAGCAAAAACGTAAATATACAAAACACGGCTGTCCGACCATATTATTTAATATTTTCGTGGTGCACAGAACGGTACGCGTACCCGCTGCGGTGTCGGTGTACGGTGTAGTTGCACAGTTGCACCGCCCAGATAGCGGCGGTGACGCCGGCGGAGGCAACAGTCATGGAACGTAAAACGAAACGCTTTCCCGCCTCGCCACATTTTCATGGATCGTATCGGCGTCAGTAACGGGTGGGTGGAGCCACTGCGACCGACGAGTATCACAAGGCACATTACTCTCGGACGACGACGCCGCCGTATGGCCGTAATGCCGTAAGAGTTTGTCGCGCTTGGGGTCCCCAGGTCCATGGAGTAGAAATTTACGGTGGTTGGCACTGCCGCGGTACGATGCGCGCGCACATTACACCGTCACAGAAGTAGTTCCTGCACCGAACGCCCGCACGCCACCGCCGCCGCGGAAGTTAGTTCAGTTTGTTGTGCACGACGCGCCCAGGCCGACAACCTTCCGGCGCGATATGGCGGTATTGCCCCCACCGCTGCAACACCAACGACAACTTACTACAACAGCTGCTGCGACCGTCGCTAAAAAAAAACGATTTTTTTTCGTAATGCCCGCGCAATACGCCAGGAGATTTAGTAATAAACTAATAACAAATATCATTTCTAATTTCATGCTTACAATAACACAACTAAAATATGTAATATTACGACAGCCGAATAACGCATACCTAATACTTATGTACTATTAAATTTAATAATGTCCCGAAAACAATATGGTGGACATTGGCAATGGCCGCTGAGTAAGTATATTTGTATAAGATTAAATATAGGTAGTTAATACGATAAACAATCGTATTTTGGTAAAAATAATAATTTATTGTGTTAACTACAGAATGCTAATTTAACAGTCTATTTTAAATTCTTTTAAGTAAAAACGCGTACTTTTGATGTTACTGGTAGTCTATAGAAAAATGAAGCGTTTTGGCGGGACTTGTGAGTATGGAACAATTATTGATTAAAGAGGGGGTTGAAATTTAACTGCCTTTTTAAACTGAACTCAGCGCTCCCGAGTCCCGTGTTGCTTGCATGTGAAATTTACCAAAAAAAGTTTGCATTTTCCGAGCATCCCCCCCCCCCTCATTGGTAAGTAAACTAAATTTTTTTTTTTAATATGTAAAGTATCTTTTAAATAAAAATAAAGTGCCAAAAATGTTTGTACGCGCATCACTTCAAAGCGTCTACGCCTATTTGGTTAACTCTTTATTTTTGTGTGTCCGCAATTGGCCGAACAAAGTTTGTATGAAAGAAAATTTAAGGAATAGTGGAAAATATGTGTAACAAAAATACAATAATAGCGCCATCTGACCAGCAAAATATAATTAAAATTCACCGTTTTAACGGCATTACACAAAAAGCACGGGATATACAAATTCACACACTATTAGATGTGCAACTTAGTAAAAATGAATGTAAGATTTCATGATAAACTTTATAATTTTCTACGTACATAAAAGCAAATGCATGTCCAATAGCGATGAAACTTTGGGTCGTTGTTGAGTGCACCCCTGCGAAGGTTTCTGGTACAATATTATACATCCTGTCAAAATTGTAATTCATATTATTTTATTACAGTTCTTAGTTCAAAATATAATACAACGAAATGTATCCACAATTTCAAAAACTAATTTTGATTTTTCAATTACTTTTTATAATATATTAAGTTGTTCTACCAATCTAGAAAAAATTGTAGTTATACCGGTGAGGCAGCCGGTATAGGTACCAATGATACCATAGTAATTTTTCCCCTCCGCGTCTTCTTTGCTATACGTAAAAATGAGACTATTTTTGCCTCAGACATAACATAGAGTTATGTAAGATGGGAATTGTATCGAGATAAAAATATGAACTGATATCAGCTTTTAAGCTGGTCTTTTCATTCGGTCATAATATACTCATATTATGTGATGGTAAGAACTTTTGGCCCCTCATAATAATAACTGATATTACGCCACTGGAGTCTTGTGGATCAACTGCATAGGTACCCGAGCGTCCCGAGCCTGCAGGCACGCGACCGAGTGCATAATATTGTGCACGCTGACGAATGGCGACTGGTTCAAATGGTATTACGTAAACACGCGGTGCAACTAAAATGCGCGTTTGTCCGTCAGAATGAATGCCATGAACCGTCGGTGATTTCGAAATCGCAATGCGCTGGTTGCACACACCGTTTGAATCAATGCGCGTGAGCTGCAAATACCGCATATGTACGTCGTACGTGACGCACAATAAATGCATTGACCACGATCGGTATACAATTATTATTATATGCACTGCAAATTGCGATACATCCACGCGGCCTCAACGATATACATGTTCGTGTAACGAATAAATTATTAGTACAACTGCACGTCACAATAGCCTGTTGGTCTATGACTTCGATCATGATACCAGCGTATATTATTATATTCTAATAAATACAAATAGGTATAAGCCACAAAAAACGTTTTTCTATTATTCCTAATATTATTTTTTTTCCTCGTACAAATTACAAGTTCATACGTGTTATTCCTTTGATGATTAGGTAGGTATATTATTAAACTCATACGAATATTAGAATTAAAATATATTGCTGTCTATATATATAAGTATACCTAGGTACTAGCCCATAGATATATTATAATTTGGTAAATTTACTTAATAAAACCTACAATCTACATATACTTAAATTTATAAAATGTATAATTGATAATTATACCATACCATATTATATAATTACTGAGCTCGGGCCAAAGTGTGCTGTGTAATGAGTAATGACCAATTAGTATAGGTACATAAAATATAAAAATACCTATTTTAAAATTTTAAGCCGTATCAAATATAGATACCTACGTGGCCTATACTCATACTTACGATATGCAGGTACTGATTTATCGAATAAGATAAATATTTATACTTATCTTCTATACACCGTACACTTATAACATCTGGAAGTACCTAGTATCCATTAAATTACCTACCTACTGTCATACCTATTTATGTATAGGTCATAATATATACTAGGTATATACTATGTAGTTATATGTAGGTCACTTTTAATGATTATAACACTTAAAATAACAATGTATAGCTTTAAGTTACTAATTAATAGTTGAATATAATACATTCCGCAAATCTCATATTGCATAGATATATTGTAAATAATCACTAGATACCTATATGGTATGCCTATATACCATTACCATTCCTATTTAAATACATATACATCATTCTTCAATACTGATTCCCCTAGGTATTGTACCTATTGTATAACTACAATGTTAATGATGTGTTAAACATACATATTACATGATGCATAGGTATTCTGCAACGGTTAGAACTTATATTCATGTAACGATTAATTTCCAATATAAATAATGTAGGCTTATTCATAGGTGCAATTTAAGTTGTTGACTTGGAGGGGCTTTACATATATTAATGAAACAGACGTATGAAAGGGGCTCTGCCCCCATACCACCTGTTCAAATACCTTTAAAAAACATAAAAACATTCCATTATGTAGGTACCTATATAATATAATATTATATTATAATGTATTTATTATTTTTTTCTCATCCACTTTACTACATTTAATATATTTTAAATTATAATAAATCTTCCTATTTCTAAAAATGAAAAATATTTTAAAATATTACAAATGCATATTATAATTATAAACTGCTTCGATTCGAAAATTAAAATTTATAAAAAACACTACCATCGAGTATCGACTATATTCTAAACAGATTTAAATGTTATTAGTAATATATTGTAATTAGTTATTACCTACCTACTAATTTGTAACACTTTTGTGAAACCTATAATATAATTATGTCTGTGGGTAGATCCGATATTTATACGAGGTATATGGAAAACATAAGAATAATTTATCGTTGTTTAAACTTTAGAAAATAATTTCTTCAAACAACATATAGGTAAGGACTGAATTGAGGAGATTTGACAACTAATGAAGGATTTAATACTTCAATTAAAATACTAATGTTTGGAGGGGTTAATCCCCTCCAAGTCTCCCCAGATTTTGCCTATGGATATAACTCAAAAGCGAATAACAGTAAATAGTTGAAATTTTCACCAGATGTTAGCATTTTCTGTAAACGATAAATGAATATTCCACTAGCGTGTTGGCCTTGACACGCATGTTTATTAATAATAATCAATAATATAATAATATCAAATAAAATAACATACCAAAACGTGTATTATCTAAACGTTTGTGTAAATCATAATACGATTTACTGTACAACAATCTTAAAATCTAGGACCTAGGTATAACTTTTTTTTCAACTGGCGTTGGTACGGCTGCTACCAAATTCGGTGATAACCGGTCCATTTCTTTTTAAATTGATACCTATGTCAAGTGCAACAAAATAAACGTCGGGAGAATCGCTTATTCGCTTCGTCCATTTCCACATCGAGCGGTGGTTACTGGGTCTGCCTCTTCATCATACCCTCACGGACTTTAGGCTCTTGCAGTAAGCTCGAGTGCACTGCTATCTGGGTGTGAGGTTTATAGTTCGGCTGTATTCAAACTCGGGTGTCTCGATCGAACCTCGCTCCGAGACGTACTCGATGTCGGTCCAAGTAAATCGCAGGGCCATGTTCGGCACCAAACTAGAATGGCGTCTCAGCGGATCAGTGACATCGTGGTTTGACAGCTGAAAGTCCTCTTCGGCCGGCCGTACCTGCAATATTGTCTCGATCTTGACTTCGGTGGAAATGGGCGTCATTATTACCACGTTAATCAACTTAATATAGTAACGGAACTTTCTTTATTTTGGGTGGATCTGATTTCTACAATGGAAAATGCACGAATAATGAATCGTTATTTAAACTTTAGAAAATAATTTCTTCAAACAATGTTGACTGACTAAATTATATAGATTAGAACTTTCAAGGCCCTCCTCCCCCAAATTGCGCATATGGGTATACTAGATACACTCTACCAGAAAAGATACTCTAAAGCTTTTTTCGACTACTCGTCGTGAATACAGAGTACAGGCATTAAATATATTTAGAAAAACATCATTGTAAAATCAATGCACAAGGCACAACCAATACATTCATTACATTATACTAATAAGGTATATTTATATCAATCAGTGATGACTATATCTTGACAATAATAGATATTACTTTGTTGGGTTCCTTTATTTATTAATTACTTTTTGTATTGTCATGAAAAATCTAAATTACATGTGGTCAATATTGCTCAGTACGACAGTATACATATTACATATATTTTAATGATAAAACAAGAGAAGTATCTATCAGTTTTGTGAATTTTTATTTTTCACAAATTAAGACCCTAATGGCTAAAGACGTTAAGGAGTAATAAGGACGGAAGTTACCCGTTTCCGCCAAAAGTGTACCTTTCCGTTTTCACACCAAATGTGTGGCCATGCCCGCTTACATCATAATATATACTGATATTAGTACTTACATTTAAAAACTAAATATTTATTAGATTTATCGGCTTTGGCAGATTTGAGTCACTCTGTATAATGCATTATGTGATTCAGTACACATTTATGACACTAGCATCGTATCAATTACACTTACCAAACGCCAAATCATAACGCTATCATTGATTCATATATCAGTTTATTATAATAAGTAATAACTAATAAGCAAATTTTATAAAACTTTACTTCAAGTTAATTTTATTTTACCTTGCACAATATTATCTACGTAAATAAATCACTTTCTATACAATTATAGGGCAAACTGTGTAGAGCCAATTTTACCTATATTTTAATCGTAAAACGTCCACATACTACATACTGCAGCTGCCAATAATGGCTATCCATAAACCGCTTGGGTAAAATGTGACCATCCATCAAACTGAAAATGATAAAGATCTTTCAAATTTCAAATCGCTGCTAAAAAAGGGTTTTTAAGTTCAAAAATCCTCGGTAGAGTCTGTTTAATGCCTGCTACACAACTAAAAATTCCACTAAAAATACCCTAACAACTCTCATGTTTCTGTCATTTATATACCTAATTTATAATATGCTACCTACACCACACAGCTAGTTTTTTATTCAACCACAATGACTAATTAGTAATTAATATGTTTCTTTCAACTTATATAATAGCACCAATATCTTATATATTTTTCTTATTTTCTAACAAGTATACCTACCTAACATAATGGTTCTAAGTTCTAACAATATTTAAGTCTTAGAAACTGTATTATGACTACCTGGTGTTTGACAATATATATATTCGGGAAAGCCATAAGACAATAAAATATAGAGATGACTATACAGTATACATACGGTTGTAGTTGTAAAAATTATTTTTATTATTTAACACTTATTTGGAAAATATACAATCTATAAGGTTAGTTTACAATAGGCATATATGCGGTGTTTATGTGTTTTTACGTGAGTTTACATGAGTTTAAGGAACTACCCAACAGTAGTACTTATGGCGTGAGGGATATCAATAATTAATAAATAATAAGCATATATATCACATAAAGAGGTAGGTAAGTACTTTATTAAGATAACTAATTTTTTAATTTAATAATAATAAAATGAGTGTTCACAATAATACAATATGCAGAATAGGTATACATGGTAGCTGGTACGTCATAAATACAAAAATAGGTAGGTATATGTGTTAATTTAAATTCTAAAGATCCCTATGATTGACCTTGTAGTTGTAGAATTATCACCAAGTATGTTGTAACTGCTCCTGTTAACTATAACAATAAATATACAAAAGTAACTATTATAGTTATGAAGCGAGCAGGGCCATACACATGGGGATGGATAAGTGTATTTGTATTATATCCCCTCGCAAGCTTTTTTTTTAAATGTATTTTTATATGCTAGTATACTGTATAGCTGTTCATTTAAAGCTGTTTTAAGAGTCTCACCTATACATGTATTTTCTCCGTCTTAACATTTACAACATTATAATATTATCAAAGTTATGTTCAGAAGATCCAATGTTGGGTTGTTAGCTTTAATACAATTATTCAAGTGGATTGAAGTATTATTAAACTGAGCATGAATATTATCTATATTTGTACGTTGGTTGTTCATGATATTTCAATTTTTAAGAAATTTATGAATATGTAAAAAATTACAAAGTAAAAATGCTTATAAATTGCTTAAAAATTAAAATACCGTATAATGTAAAAGTACAAACACAGATAATTTAATACTAAGTCAATTCACAGTAAAGATTAAAACCAACAAATCAAAATGAATTTTAAAAAACTCAAATTTGCTATATGTTATACTATACGGCTGAGACAACAAACACTGGCGCATATTGATTCCGCGGATTTAGTATTAACTCCACCGGGCACCAACTGCTATTTATCATCATTCATGATAAAAAAAATCACCCTGCTGTATATTAATATCCAAGTAAAAATAATGCTTTCCAAAAAAAAAAGTTTTCAAATAAATACATGAATCAAAATAAGGACATACAAATAGTAGCCCAAAAACAAAAAATAAGCTGAAATAGAACATTTTATAAATGACAAAATGTTCGATTATACCTATAATAAACAAAATTAAACTATACAATTACATTAAATATTTTGGTTTCAAAAAATCCATAAAAATCTAAAATACTTTTTTTAATACATTAAATCATTAAACTGATGTTTGATTAGTTTGACTAAATTTTAACATATTATAAAAGTAAAGCTTTGACGCCTGTAGGAACTTAAAGTCACCTTCATGACTAGTATTCGGTGAATTAAATTTTCTAAAAAAAAATTAATATTTTATCATCTACTAAAAATGTTTTATCATTATCATTTTAAAAGTTTTTTGTTATATTTCAAAAAATGTAAGACTGTGGAATCAATAAGAACTAAAAATATTAGCAGTATCCGGTGGAATCAATAACCGACGTAATCAATACAAACCTTTTTCCAAAGCAAATAGTTTCGCCCGAGTTTCGACAGAATCAATAAATCCAACCTGAATTGATAAATTGTGTCCCCGAAAATGTTCAGTGTACAGTAATCATACAGAAATATAAACCCATCAAAGCCCTTTTAATTGCGATACAAATAAAAATAAAAAAACTCAGTTGGTAGTTGTAGATAACAATGAATTTTATTAGTCCACGATTGTAATCTACATTCCTTTATCTTGTGACTTGTTTGATCATCACGAACGAACGCAACCACATTGACTATTTAGAGTTTTGAAATTTTAAAAACTAAAGTGACTAATATTATTGACATTATTAACTGTTTTCGTTTACTAAATTTAAATGTTTAAAATGTTTAAATAGATGTACATAATTTTGTGATGATAAAAAATTAGATGGCTATGAAGGATTCATTTTTATTACATATCTAAAAGATATACCTATTATACATTATATTCAGACATATTTAGTATGGATCCAAGGGATCCTATAAGACCTGGGATCCCATAATTTAGAGATTTTTTGCGGCTTCTTATGAATTGTGAAATGCTGAGATGCGTGTCGGCGTAGATTACCTATACGAGTATGAACTCCGTTAAATACATAATACATTTTGGTTCTATGGAAGTAAATTAACGTATGTACATTTGATGTTTAAGTAATAACTTATAAATATATAATATTACATAGATACTCACTGTAATAACTAATTGTTTATCTATAATAAACATACTGTAAATACTAAATTCTGGTGTGTTGGCGGCTAACTGTTGTGCATAAGTTTCTATCTACAAAAAAGTATATTAATATTTGTACAAATGTGTAACATAGTAATAATGAAAAACGTATAATTACATATTAAAATATAATTATTTGAATAAAATATTTGTACCCAAAGAATTTTCGTATTAATATGATAGTTATTTTGTTTAAGGTATAAATATACAGAATTCCACATATTATACATGTATATATCTAAAAAAATCGTTTACTTTATAGCCTATAGGTACTTAACTACATAAGCTACTTACATAGTACCTATAAGTATATATTTTATTAAATACGTCGTTAAAAATTATATTAATTATTAAGTACATTTCTACTCAACAATGCACGACAATTTATAATAAAAAAATTATAACACAGATACACCCATTGCACATACCCTAAATATATGTATATTGTTTACTACATAATATTAACCTTTTAAATACCACATAGTACATACTCAATGTACTAATATATGTCCGTAGTCTAAAGTTAATTTGTACGTTGTTTAGACACTAAACAATGTACAAATTAACAAAAAATGACAATGATATAATCGCTCACCAGGTCAAAGACCAAACTTCTAAATATATAATTATCTAACCTTAATCTATATTATACAAATCAACCAGCATGCCTAATTTTTAATATATCTTTTTGCCTTACAGCATTCATAATATCTAGTTTATCCGTTAAATATTTTACTAATAAGATTATTGTCAATCATTTAAAAACAAATTGTTAATCCTTAAAATGTCTAGATAATTATAAAATTAATTGAAATTTAAAAAAACATCATTTTTATAGATTTATATTATTATGGAAGTAATTAGGAGTACCTACCTAGTAAGTTTATACTTACAGACAATAAGATATTATAGGTACATTATACACGTGCAATAACTATTTACTAAGAACAAATATAACTTTAAAGTGGATTTATAAAAATATCTTTCTACCCCGGAATAGTATTCATGAGTGGTGAGGGTGACACCCAAAACTGAAAGAGTTCTCATCGGAAAGAGATTACTTTATTATAATAAAATTTAAATAATAGCTGGTCGACAAAAGAAAGTTATTTATTAGTTACCCTCTTGGGTATGGCCTGATAATATCATACCGTAATTTTTCGTTTATTTTAACATTAATTAATAAAATTAATTTTTTTGTAATACATAAAATAACTATTTTAAAGGTTTTAATATTTTAATATTTATATACATTATTTTTATGTATTACATGTTAGATTTTGTAATAAAACTTTATTTCATAATAATTTTTATATATTAAATAATATTTGTATTTTATTGCTATATTATGCATATTATAAAAATGATTATTTTCAATAAGGTTTATATAATTTCCATCAATCTTCTTAAATATTGTTAAGCTAGGTAATATAAAATAATATAATAATTTAAATAAACACTGTTTTCACATAATTCTTACCCTTTTTATATCAAATAAATCGATTTTAGTATTGAGATAGCTTCCAAGCAATATTTGTGTTTTAGCAGCCTTCATATAAAAAAAAAATAATTGCATACTATTGGCTCTTGTCAGAAATAATTGTTAACATTAAAATGAGTGATATTTTAATATTAATGTATTTACCTCTTCTCCTAGTAGAGCACATGGATAGATCATCAAAACCACTCGAAGAATATGAATAATGAACCATAAAGTGCATTCTAATATGTAACTCAATATATCAATATCCTCGTTGAGTATAGTCAACGACAACATATATGGTGTTAACATCAAATGTAGTAATCCACAAACGAAGAACACAAATAATCGAAATTTAAATAAGTTGTTGACCCTGGATACAATTTGTGTGATTGACCAATGCACATCTGACCAATATTTCAGCATTGCAAGCATGTTTACTTTTTCCAATACTGAATAATGTACATCCAATAAAAACAAATAAAACAATTTTGTAAATTTTGCGTTGGTTAATATTTACAGCAGTGATTTCTATGAACATTTATTTATTTATCATAATATTATAGACTTGACAACATGTCAGCATATAAGAATTTGTTTTCAAATTTAGTACCATCATGTAAGATGTGTTGTGGTTATTAATCTTTACAAGATAATAAACACATTTCGGGTGAAGCGATTAAACTTTGTTTTTATACTTTATTTAATGTTTAGGTCTTTAGGTATATACTATTGTCACCCATAGCGAAAAAGGCATATACCCAAGATGTTTTTTAGCAATACATCACTGATCATATTTTGATGTAATGCTGCCCGATTCTCACCGCTGATGAACATCATGTTCTGTGGCTGGACGTCCGAAGACGGCATTTTGGTGGTGTCGGCGTCGGAAGTTCCATACTCGTACAAGCCGAAATCATGCCGGCGGCCAGCGCTTCCGGCCCGCATCCGACAATTGAGCTCGCGGTAACACTGCCGCAGCCCGAAAACGGTGATGGCGAACTGCATGTTCCCGGTGAGCAGCGCGTAATGGCCCCAAAAGTAGACGGCCCCGAACGTCCAGGGCCTGGGGCCCGAGTACCGGCGCACGTCCAGCGACAGGGCGGTGGCCAGCAACGCGTACAGCACCCAACAGTACGCGTCCATTGCGCGGCCGGCCGGAGCCGTTGAGCCGAACAGCTGTTGCACCACGGCCGCGTGTTCGGCGTACACGCGGACGTGTTGCCGGCGGTACGCGGCCGCGCACCAGTAAACCGCCGTGGACGCGACAAACAGCAGAGCCATGTTTGTGTCCCGGATCACATGGATCTGAAACGTGCCGCTCTCGTGCCGCCTGTACGCGCTCAGCCGTTCGGACGTGAGTACCGAACAGAGGTACGCGTAAGCCGAATAAACGGTCACTGCGTATATGACCGACAGACGGGACGACGGTGGCGGCGGACAGCCGGTCAACGAGAACGTCCCCAACCCGGTCAACCGCCACAGGGCGGTTAGCGCTTTGGATGAGTGAAACATCTAACGTTTTATGGAACTGAAGTAAATACTTTAACAATACGTAGGCATATAGGCAGTATAGGTAGGAACTTTATGGAAGTCTTATACGAAATGGTGCTAACCAGCAACTCAACAAAAAAAGCGATCAACGGCCTCGCGTCTACCCTGCCTGCAGCTGTAGTTTGATAGGGTGAGAAAGATGTCTCAGAAAATATATCAACGAGTCGATGGATACGGATAATGTAATAGACCGAAATAGAAGGAACTTGGGAACTTGGGAAACGTGCGAAAAACCTCATTTATCTCTGTATAGTACGAAGAAAAAAATGGCGACATGATGTATTTTACTTGACTGATACGAAAGTCACGCATTGATATTTTATTGGTTAATAATTACAGAGTTAGTTATTATATATTTATATATATTTCGGCATCGTTATTATTTTTGTTTCTATAAAAAAAAAAGTGATATTAGGTATATACGATTCATATATAAGCTATAATGTATGCTGTCAGACATATTACTGACTCGTATATTACGGTGATTTATTTTATTGTCAACCGACTACAATAAAATATGCGTGAAACATAAACAGGAAACATAACAATTTATTATAAGTATACAAGTGACACGATAATAGTGCAACATTACTACCTATATACTAGTAGGTACATTAGTATGAATTGTTTTTATAGATATATGTAATGTATAGTGTATGAACTCGACACTATGTAATCTCTAAGGCAAACACAATTTAATGCCTACGCTGTTTTATATTACACTTATACAGTTATATAGATACCTGTATGGGCATATGGCTGTGTATATATATATAGGTACTATCATTGTTATAATAAGTTTGTCTATATGATTAAATCCGATCATGGTGAATTGACATCGTAAAATGTATTACCTATGTATTGCTATTGATTTTTCTAGTCGGAGTTTTGGAATTGAATTAAGATCACCAAGTACGTAAGCGCGGTTCCGATAATCTGAAATTCATATCATTATATATATTTTAAATTTAGTCTTAGTCAGTGACGTACACAGACAATTTCAACATTCAATGTGAGGGGTTACATTATCTCTGCATGTAGTAAAAAATAATAATACTGGGTGGGATTTGATTAGACGGCCAAACCCTCCTCTCACATCGTGTACTCCGCTAATCTTAGTAATAATACATAAGGTACGGTTCAGGTGGAAATGTGGAATAAAGTGTTTTTAAAGAGAACATATGTTTACATTTACATACACATACTAATAAGTAATAACTATTCAAATAATATGAGAAAAATCAAAAAGATATTTAACAATATATCCTTTAAGAGTTAATTTATTTGAATTAAGAAAATTGAATATAATCCAAATAATTTAGTTAAAAGTAAGATTATATAACCTAAATAAAATTATTTGGTTTATGATGAAAAAAAATATCTCACTGTACACAATCAGTTTAGTTTTCGACCTGAATATTTTTGGGGCCGGAGGAGATCAAAATCTAAAAATTAGGTAAATAATTCGCAGTATATGAAAATGTATGAAATTCATTTCAGAAAAAAAAGCCGTTTCTTGGGAACTCTACTTTGAACAATTTTCATTGTATAACCTTATAAACTAAATATTATATGTATGATTTTACCGTTGTAATGGTGGATCGATGTAAATTTACAATTCCACAAGCTGAAAAATCGATTGCATACTTTTGCAATTGAAGAACGAATATCTCCAACTGAAAAATAAAAAATAAGTCAATATATAATAAATTATACCTACCTACACCTAATAGCTAATAGGTAATAATTTCACTGTTGTTACCTAACTGGTAATATTTATATTTTATTTTTAAAAATTATTGTTGCGCATGGATTTACAATTTTGTTAATTTACCGTATTATTTAAAACAAATTACATTAAAATTATCTTTAACATTTGTATGAGGTACTATCAGGCCTGGATTAAGGTTTGGCGGGGGGGGAGGGTACCCACCGGCCACCACGGATATCAAACAATAGTGGGACCTATATACTGTTTCATATAATAATATTATAATAGCATAAAACACGTTAGGAAAAATCACTCTGTGAACGTGCTTAATTCCCGATTTCCAAACGTATTTTAATACAATACAATCAACGGAACCAACGGGGATATAAGGAGTAGAGTATTCTAAACATATATTAGAAACCTAAAACAAGTAAAGAACAATCAATTTACAGGAAAATTGAACTAATTTATGATTTTAATTCTTTTTTTTTTTAATCGATAACCAGGGAGGGAAGAACCAAGATCTGGGGGCGGAATGGTTTTGAGTTCTGAAGGGGATATTTTGGATATAATAAATACCAATGGAATAATTGCAGATTAATTCCAACAAATCAAAAATCAAAAATACTTGTATATTGTAAAAAGAAATTCTTTTTTGTTTATTTATATTATAATTTTTTTTGTCTCTTAAATATATTTGTTTGCGAGTTTAAGTTAAGTACTAATTATGTTTATGGGCCACTAAAATTCTTTGGCCCCAAGCCCAAAGTTATCTCAATCCCGGCTTAGACTACCGAAATTATTGATTGCATGCTAGATTTTATAGGAATAAATAAATTTCATTATACCTATACCAATCATTCTAACAGAAGACCTTTATACAAGTTATTATAATTTAAAACTCGTACTTCAGTTTTCAACACAGAATATCATTAATAATTTTTACAACTATAATATTAGAATAATTAATTATAATTTGTAATATTAATATTTTTTTTTAATAAATACCTGTTTCATATCACCTGGTTCTATATCAATAGTCAGATATTTACATATGATCACAGCAGTTTTTTCACCCTGTGCAATATACAAAACGTTTTAAATTACCATCAATTTAGTAGATATTTCTTATTAACTTTTTTAGTAGCGTACGACGTGGGTAATACGATTAATAATAAATGACCCAAGTGGGTCAGCACCCAGACAACTTGGATCAAAATGAATTTAATATCTGTAGAACCATAAATCACCGGGTAAAATAAATTTATGATCATAAAATATGGGGTCACAATAAGTTGCACACAATTGCAGAACAGCTGCAGAAATAACTGCCAGCCAAACTCATCATTGACTATTTTGATACTATTACAAAGACTCCAGTGAAGATCTTGTAATTTGGCAATTGAAATATTTTTAGTATCTATAAATAACAAAAAATAAAATATTTCTATATATTAGGGTAATGTTTACTCATCTAATCTAGCTAAAATACTTAAAATATAGCAATTTCTTGTTGAATATTATAAAATATTTATTTAAAGCCACTTAGTAGTTATAACTGCTAATACGTACTTAGTTTTTCGCACCTATTTAATTCTTATTTATACCTCAACCTGCAGTACCAACATAATAATAGGTAGGTATAATAGATAGATATTCAATTATCATCACACTAATAATACAATGTCCGCGGAGCATCAGACAAATAAAACTATTTTTAAATTGGTTAAGTAATTATAGTATTATTATTATTATTATTATTATTATTATTATTATTATTTTACCAAATATAAGTATTTGAGTATTTCATTTTTATTTAAAATTCGAAATTAGCATTTAAATGCAATTGTATGTATTATTATCAATATCCATAATCTATGTACTGTGAATATTTTTAACCACGGTTTTTTGTCCATTATTTTATGAAATTTATATCTAATAAGTAATAAGTAACAACAAATAAGTAATAATAATACTATATTTTTTTTTTATGACATCAACTGTATGTATATTACCCAGTTTTTACTGTGGGGGAAGGTACGGTTGGTTTGGACCACGTTTATGAATATTATTATAATACAGTATACATATTATATACTCTAGAGATCACTTAACTGATCACTAACGTCGACGATGCATCACACATCACACTATATAGCATGAATAATATATTTTATTTTAGTGAGGAACACATTTTTTTGATTTTTTCATATACTTCGTACAATCCTACCACCCAATCTCGTTATAGTTTGTCCTTAGTTTTTGTTTTTATACTTCCTATCGTCCAATCAATTTGTCTTTACTACTCATCACTCATCAGTTTCGATGCCTAAATGTGTTGAATATTCAATATACACTATTCATCACGAAAAATGTATGTAGATGTTATCTAAACGTAGTTTTTCTCAAATACAAACCAGCTTTCAATTTGCTATTACTATTATAGTTCCGCATTTCTAGAAACTGCAATTTATTTTGAAATTCCAGCCACGGAGATAACTGATAGGTATAGGAAACCTAACCCACGAATGGGTGTCACCGGGTTCCACCAAAAATGACCTTTCCATTTTCTGCCAATACCTTTTTCCACCAAATTAAAAAAACGTCATTCCTTTTTCCGTCAATGATAAATTATAGAATTTTAAATTTTGGGAACCCTTATGTAACTATTCAATAATTTTTCAATTTTTTTGAAGTAACTTTAATATACACATTATAGAGACAAATAATATTATTTTCCAGTTATTACTTAGTCTAAATGTTATGATAAAATTTACTAATTTTGACTGTACACTAATATCATTACTTATATAATAAGTAATAACTGGAAAATAATATTATTTGACTCTATAATGTGTATATTAAAGTTAATTAAAAAAAATTGAAAAATTATTGAATATTTAAGTAAGGGTTCCCAAAATTTAAAATTCTATAATTTATCATTGGCGGAAAACGAAAGGTCATTTTTGACGGAAACCGGTGACACCCATACAAATATACGATACACCTATTCGTACTGTTACATCCACCAGACTTTACCTATACATTAAACTCTATATTTTCAACATGAATTAATTGTGTGAAACACTAAAACCTATCAGTTAAATTAAAAACGTCACCCACGTGTCATGCACAAAGGTTGATAACCTATATGAAAATATTAAAATAAACTTTCACGCTTTATATATAACCTGCAGCAGTATATAATCCGTCGATAAAAATAAAGGAAGCCATAAATGATATGTACGAGTATATTATTATCATTGAGTATAAATATACTTGTGTATATATACTCTATACTGTATAAATTGGCTTATATAATGTACAAATATTACATAAATTATAAATTTATAAGTATAATAATATTATTATAAATATTCTAATGGTTATCTTTTACAATAAAAATAGATAATAAAAAGTTATAACTATATTTAAAATGTAATCGTATCTGGGTAAAAGACATTTTGGAAACCTAACCGAGTCGATTTCAGCACTCTAACCAGCCCATACCTATCCATATAAATATATTATTATTTTACAGTCCGAACCGGCGAACGCCTGCAGTATGGCTGTATGGCCGTATGATTTCAGTACACTTGGTATATTTTATTGATTGTGCTTGATGACTGATGAGTACCGGAATAATAATCTTAGTGCTATCACTGCTATCTAATTTCTGTAATATTAGAACATATAAGGCCATGGCAACTGAGTAAATAGGTAGAAATAAAACATTAAGTAGGTAGATATATCTAACGGGTTACTCTATCGATTTGTTTTATCATAGAACGTCTGAAATACTTATATACACGAATATGTGGTACATATGTATTGTTATGTCCTATGTACCAGGGACTAAAATTGTGTGAGTTCGAAATTCTAAGTGTGTGTAATGTAATACGAAATTAAAAAATGTCTAATACCTGTATAGCAACTGTTTCTTTACAGTTTTTTTCCTTGTTTCATTTTTGATTGATGGGTTCATATATTTATATATTAGGTATACCTAGTTCATTTTGACATTTTGTACAAGTATAAAATACATTCTTATCATAATGTTACCATAATTTGTATACATAGGTATATAGATTAATTACCAACCTACTATATTATTCATTGTTTGTAAACTAAACATTATCCATATAACTTATGAGTTATGGATAATGAATGAACCGTAAGCAATGTTTCAAGATCGATACTATTTATTGTGATGTAGTTTGTACTCCATAGATAAAGAAAAATATAAATTGACTACTTTATGTGTATGGATTAAATACACTTTAGGGGTATGGGGGAAAAGCTCTTAGTTTAATATGAAGTACGATAGAACGAATAAATTTATATTTTAGCCTCTGCTATTTCTACAGCTGTAGGTATAAAAATGAATACCTGAGTAGCTAAATACTTTTAAAATATGTTTCTATGGAAGAGAAACAGATATTTTCTTATAATATTTTTGGCCAAAACAGATTGTATCTGTTTAATGCCACAATCAAAAAAATGTCGACACCAAAAAATAAAAGTTCTTACTTGGGTATCTGCGTGACTGTGCCGGGCGTTGTCGTGTTGACAACACATAAGAGGGTGGGTTCAGAAACTATACTCTGTCTCAAAGTATAAAACACGGGTTTTGAGCACTTTTTGTCCTCTTCCTCCGGTACCTACCCATATGCCATGTGGGAAATGTGAGCCGCAGGATGGAAACAGGTCGTCGCCCAGTGTATTCTACTTTGAGACATAATATAGCCAAGTGTTTAGCAATAAAAATAAAAGAACATTTTTGCTCATTATTATTATTTATTAGTCATTACTCATTACTGCATTAAAATTTAAAATAGGAGTGAAGGCTTTTTTTGACTAAAAAAAAGAGTAGATTTGGATAAAATATATTCTACTAAAATGTAGGTGCGAATAGAGAGAGGCGTTTTAGGGTCTAAGTCCACCCCAAAAAAAAAATTTAATAGACACCTTCCCCCCCATAAAAAACATTTCATAATTTTTTTAGCTTATTCAGTATATGTATAGTAAGCCAGTAAGACACTAGAACTTCCACCCCCTCCTCCCAAATCGCAAATGCTATTTCCAGCTATGATCACTATGTACTTTGATAGGCTAACTTTGCAGGATTTTAGTCACTTTACTTGACCTTTTTTGTTTGTAATAGGATCGATCTTACTATACCAGGAAAATATTTAAATACAGAAATGTCATTCATAACGAATCCCGGAAAAAAAACCAAGGAAAAAAAACCACGGAAAAAAAACCAAAATAAAAAAACCAAAGGAAAAAAACCAAAATGATAATAATATAATCAGAGAATTAGTATAATCACAAAATATAATAATATACAATCTATTGCTTTGTTATCAATATTATAACGAATAAAATTTATATATAAATTAATTATACATTCAAATATTATATAATTAATTATATTATATTTATTTTATCCAATTTTCAAAGCTGAGCAAGTTAGTCACTTTTTGGTGTTACACTTACCCAACTTTACAAGTATCAATTTTATGAGTGATATATCGACTGTTATATAATAATAGAGATAATAATAATACAAAACACTATGTATGCTATTACATACATTTTAGTTTGAGAAATTCCCTGTAGATCATAGACCTATTACTCTATGATGTAGATAAACTATTGGTTTCGAAAATTAAAAATAACTCAACAATATAATCAGACAAGTCTGACAAGTGACAAGTTAATCTGTCAAGATTTATATTTGAAATTGGGGGAATATGAAGATCATATAAAAATATACTATTGATCATTGTGCTGACTGTGACTTAACTGTATTGTGTTATTGTGTCTTGTGTCTTGCAAATTGTTTTTTTTTAAGTTCAGGATTTAATATTTTAAAATATGGAAATTATTAAATCAAATAAGGGTGCAGATAAGCTTTGTCACAAAGGTTATATGTATAGGTACCTTAAAATATGCCGGAAAACAATATTATACATGGAGATGTACAAATTGATGTACAATATCGATTATATTGTCATTTTGATTTTTTTTTCCTTGGTTTTTTTTCCGTATACCTCATTAACACTAAAAAGACTTAAATTACATACCTGCCTATATGATGCCTATATCCATGTATACGTTTGCATTTGGGATATAGCTCCACTAGCAAGTTTTTTGGTAGAATGTAAATACCAGGAGGAAGTTGTTTAAATGTTTAGATTTCATTATGTACCGACTACCAAGTTAAACATCATAAAATAAGTTAACAATTCTTAAAAAACTTGAAAATCATTTAGAAAATTAAGACACGGACATCTACTACAAGTATACTTCTATCTATATTCTATAATTTATGTTAAAATATTATTAAATCGTGTAATTACACACTCTAGGCACAGGACACTGCAATAGACACCTACACCTATACCTACTTACCTTCTACCAAGCACCTAATTACTTATCATAAATACTATATTATTATTATTATTGTTATTACATTATACTTGTACCATATTGATGGTCTGTTATGACCACGGAATTAGCACTCGTTACGACTGCAGTGTGGCCGGCGAACGTCCACACCCTTTGCGGGGGTCGGCAGCCACGACCACAGCGTCTGTGGTCAAACGTCGCCGCCGCGTTCGTCTGGAAACCCGCGAGCTTGCACTCGATTGCCGCGTTGATGTCCTCGAACCGGCACCCGATGTTCCAAGCGATCTGCGCGTACATGAGCATGGTGGCCAGGTCGATGAACATGTACACGAAGCACACGTTGTACATCCAGGTGGCCGGGCTGAGCGCGTACCACAAATAACCGTCGGTGGCGAACAGAGCCGCGTGGAACGTGACCAGTGCCAGAGTGTATCTCGCCACTGGCTGGCATGTGGACACCCGGAGCACAGCGTCCGAGTGGTTCAGGTGTCGCTCGATGTCCTGGAGCATAGTGTGCCGGCCTGCGGAACACGTGACCGCCAGCGCGCACACCAAGCACTGAAGCGTCACCTGGAGCGCGGTGACGATGGCCGAGGACGTGTTCTGTATGCGCAACGACCGGCCCGCCAAGGACGCTCGCGTGTCCTCCACTACGGCCCACAACCCGACGGTCACGCACGCGACCAACACGGCTAAGTTGAAGGCGTACCACCAGACGCTGAAGGTGTAGTACGGCTGAGACGGTAAGCTGCCGCCGTCGGCTGGTTTCCGCCGCAGTGTCACCGGTGCAATGAACATGCATTGCCACACTCTCAGCAGGACCTTTGAACAAGCGTACATGACGCCGTTCGTCCGTCGGTATTTATACACTCGCGATAATATGTACCCACCTACTGTCGTTACTCGTTACTGTAAATAAAATGAATTCCTACTTGAATTTACTCGCTGTGAGACGCTGCTAACGACTACAGACCACGATTATAAGTACCTGGATCGTAAGTTGGTACAACAATATTAGCAGTGGTGGTTTTTTAAAGGTTTTTTTCTGGTAGTTCTACGATATTATTATATCGTATGCAATAAAAATATATTTTATTAAATTCATTTTAGATAATGTACTAACTCTCACGAAAAATATATATGTTCATCATTTATGTTTATTAATATACGTGTGTAAATCACCTGGAATAGTGGAGTAGGTAGTTAACTGCAATGGTTTAACACTGCCTCCCTTCGTCGGTACCTATTCAAAACGAAAAATATAGATTTGATATGATATACGATATACTTACCCTAAGTTTAATATATTTTATAGGTAGATTATACCTACAGAGCACACGCGTTTTGTGAGACCGTCGCTTTTATAAGGACTGACGGGTTTTGAATAACCCATATATATATATATATATTACATTTATAATATTGTATAATTTATAATAAATGTATTTTAAACCTGTTGACTTTTAAACAATATAACAGTCATCGCGGCGACATTGTATTGTATACCAGCTATTTTAAGTATTGTACTGTACTATATGATATGAATTAAAAATGTTTTATGGGTGTACCTTTATAATTTTGTATAGATAGGTAGGTAGGTATTTGTTGTTTTTAATTTGTTGTAGTCCGTCGTTACCAAAACAATACTTAGGTATTTTTTTAAGTCGGACAGGTAGGTTATATGACATAACTACAAAATGTCATAAAAAAAACCAAAAAATCAGACTTTGAGCTATTCTATTGTACCCATACTTCACCATCATACATTATTGACGTATTTTCATCATACATAAACCTTGTATCTAACTATATAAAATGCCCTACATTCTATAGTCCATACCAGGGGTCACCAACTAATTTTTATGGAGGTCTGTTTTGAAACTTATCAAATTTTCTGCTGTCCCAAACAGTCTTAAAGATTTTTACATGTGTTATATTTATAATTTTAATTTGTATTTGTATTAATTGTATCAATCACTTAAATAATTGTTTTGTCGTAATATTTTATGTGACACACTTATAGTTTTTATATTTATATTAAAAAAATTTTAAAACTACTCCAGATAATGATCCTTAAAAATAGTGTTCTCGGTCCGTCTCCGGGGAAGTTAGTTGGTGACTCCTGGTCCTGGTTTATAACTTTATTATAAAGTGCTTGATTTGGAGGCGCGGGGGGACGGAGTCTCCCTTCTTTTTAAATTTTTTTAGCGTACCCCCTCTATTTATTTGAAACGGAACGCTGCGAATAACGCAACTTTTACTATACCTAATGAATATGTAAATAATAATAATATTTAAAGAGTTTAGCTAATAATTTGCGTACTAGACTATTTACTACTCAAGCAACTCATGTGTCTAAAAATAAAAATGACTTTAAAAGTAAATTTGATGAACTTATAAAAGATTTGGATGTGTTAAATTCTAATAACTGGCCTGATAATGTCGATATTCTGTATGGAGATGACTGTGTTAGAAGATTTGTTACAAGGTTGAAGGTTTCATTTAGATGAAAAAACTACGATCCGAGGATTCCGTGAGTTTAAAGATACAAAATATTCCTCACAAATAAACTATCGACATCCTCTTTTGACTGCAGTCAGAACAATTGCAATTTCTTCCTCTGAATGTGAGAGATCATTCAGTGCAATGAACAATATAATTGCACCAAAAAGAAATGCTGTGACTACAGAGCATATATCTTCATTAGTTTTCATTAACTTTATCGGACCTCCCATTCAACTGTTCAAACCAGATCATTACGTCGAAAGCTGGATAAAAAGTGGAATAAGAAATTTGGATGAAGTAAACTGTCCTGAAAGAACTTCTAAAAATGAAGATAGTTCATATGTAAACTTGTGGACCTTATTTAATAATTAATACGTAGTTTGTTTGTTTTTTTTCTTTTTTTTTTTTTGTAGAATATTTAATTCAAATAATGTTAAAAAAAAATAAGGAATTAACAAGTGTTTTTTTTCTATTAAAATATTTTTGTACAGTACCTACATTTAATGATTTTTTGGGACTTTGGGTGGCTGAAGGGAGGTGTGGAGCCGTAGAGGGCTTTGTCCCCCAAGACAATGTGATATTTAATTTTGTGTGGAACGCTCATTCATCAAACATCCTCTGAATCCCTCTTCTGGTTTTTTTCCGGGAGATCGTATTTTGCGCCAATTTTATTACCTATAATTTGCGCCATCAAAAGGTACATTTAAGGACGTATGTAATTTGCGCCAAAATATAAAAATATAATATGTATTTTGCGACACATATACAAATTAATTTTGGTAATTTGCGCCACGACAGAAAACGAAATGGAATATGTAATTTGCGCCACACATTCAACTTCAATATTGTTGTCACTAGATCTCACTAGTCACTACTAATGCTTGCGAATCATATCATTCACGTTTCAATTCCGAGTTCTATCACCCACATCCTACTATTTACCACTTTTTGGACGTACAGAAAGGATTTCAAACCAATACTTTGATTACAATTAAAAGTATACATCTTAAAAAACGAAATTCTACTAAAAATAAAATTCGTTTGGAAACTTTTCAACAAATATATGAAGACATAAGACAAAATAAAATTGACAGAAAATGCTTAGTTTCTTCATTAAGCTATAAATATAAAAAAAAACGTGAGTAAGCTAGGTATTATAAGTAACTAGGTATTTTAATTC